AAAAAAATTGTGAAAAAGAAAACACAAATCTTGCAACAACTCTATTTGCTAACACACATAAAATAACACGTTGCACACGCGCGCTAGTGTGTGCACCACAAACAGAGGAGTTGCAACGTTTAAAAAGTGACAGCTTGATTTAAATAAGTTTTATTACTTGACTATATTATTTGGTCATGCGAGAAATGGAAACTCCCGATTTGAATCGTAGTGATAGTACGCGCAAAAGCTTCCGTCTGCCAACGCATCGTAAGGGCATGGCACCAGTACCACCGAGCATTACAAAAGTCGATTTAGATATCGATGACAATAGTGATGCAGCTGTTGGGCGAATTGATTCAGCACAATCAATTAGCAATGCTGGTGCTGTGGACGAATTGTATTTGATACAGGGCTCGAACATTAAACGCGCCAACGAAAATAATAATACCAAAAATATTGTGGATAATTCGGAAATCATACCACGCCTCAATCGTATGACCTTAGCCAGGGAAACGGATATTATTATTGATGAAGATGTGGTGCGACTGCGCAATAGAATACCAATTACACGCAATGCCGCCTCATCGATAACACCCTATATAACAACAACAACGACAGCAGCAGTAGCAGCAACGGAAAAGAAATTGAGCAAGGAGCCCACTTTGGTGCTCACAGCTGAAGATGATGTGAATGTGTCGTTTGCGCTCGGCTCCATTGAAAAGCATATTTTCGAAATGGAAGAAAGTTTTAAGAAAATGGAAAATGTCAGGCAACCAAGCATTGAGGAATTGAAATTGGATCGCAAAAAACAAAGTAAACGCTATGGCGAAACGGAGAATTTACTACAACCCGGTAATAGTGAAATGGCCTCAGGCACCGGTTTCAGTTATCTAACGCCACCCTCCGATTTGGAGAACTCAAGTGATTCAATAACTGATTTTCAACGTGGCACTGGCGCACGCAGTTCTGTTGGCGCATACTCCAAAGTCGTTACAGCACCGTATAAAACGAAGATTACGCGCACTTCTTCCGATAGCAAGAATACCGAAACAATGGCAACACGTGACATTATCAAACAGAAAAAGATTGTGGCCAATAAAGAATTACCAACGCCGTCACAAGCGCGTGCTAGAGACGCTACGCGTGATGGTACTGAATCGAAACGTATTATCCCCACCATGAATACCAAAAATACCACAACGAACAGCACCAACACTCGGAATAGTGGCGCTGGTGGTGGTAAAACGATCTCGCAGACAGATGGTGCTATAATCGATAAACATCGTGAAGAGAATTTAAAAAAGTTTGAGTCTATGATTAATCAAAGAGCGGCAGCTAGTAAAACTGCAGCTGCTAAGCATGCGCAAACGGCGCGTACATCGGTTGTGCCGGGCGATCGTATGCCAAGACCCACAAATCCCATTACAACACCATCCAAGGTCGCTACAACGCAACATACGCCAGCAGCAACGGGCGAAAGGAGCGCAACAACAACTACAACGAATGCTGTGCACACTGTTTACAATAATCGACATGTTGGCAATGTTATGCACAACAATCAGGTAAAGATTGCGCAACTAGGGTAAGCATTTACGTTTGTCCTACAAATGTGTCACTTGTAAAGTCCTATTATATAAGAATATTTACTATTTTGAGGCTTGTAAAAGCTTAAAATAGCACACATGCTAACTTTGAAATATTAATTTAATATTTTTTTTGTATTATGTTAGTTTTATATTTAGTCTTGTAGTATTTAATGGCACAGGTGAAAGCATAAAAAGTAGTAGTTGTATAATTTGCCCGCCTAACGCTGTTTACATTTATTGCTCACTCACCCAACAGCTCCACAGACGTGTCATGTGTGACTCAAATATTAAAAATTAAAACTCAAAGTATACACATTTAACCTATAATCTACTCAAAATCACCAGCAATGTATGTACGTATTGCACATTTCACATAACAAACGTTCTAAACAAAATTCAACTGCGTATGAACCAAATATTTAACAAAATTTTCTTACATTACAAAATTAACGCCCGTACACAGGCGCATATACCATATGTATGTATATGTGCGTATATAACCCTGTACATCGTTGGCTTAGCGTAAAAAGGTGTTCCGCTCTGTAATTAATACTTAGTAATTTAAACCAAGCAGCTTCGTCTCTAGGGCGATACTATATTTTAACCAATTTCATGAGTAATACATTGTTTTTTTTTAAATTTTTTATCGTTATATTGTTTTTTTTTAATTTTTTTATCGTTATATTGTTTGTATTAACGCCTTCATTAAAGATATTTAACTCAGTAGAATCCTAAATGTTTCATAATCAAACATTTTACAAAGTTTAATGGAATTCGTCATTGTCACGTGCAAAAATAGGGAGAAATAGGGAGTAAGAGTGTGTAATAAATAAGTTGTTGCATACTTTTTGGCGCGCTTGAATTTTTTCCCCATATTTTTTTGACTAACTTTAACACTAAAAAATATTTACTTTTTATCTCGATTAAATGTTACATAAATGCTTTCTCAAATAAAAATGTCATAAAGTTTAATGGAATTCGCCATTGCCACGTGCAAAAACAATAACAAATAGCTATTAATGGTGTGTAATAAATAGGTTGTTGCATACTTTTTGGCGCACTACCAATTTTTTTTTTAAATATCTGCCATTATTTACAAATATATAAGCGGAAAATGATTTTGAATGTTATATTTTACTGCTTACAAATGTTTGCGTGAATCATTCAGATGAAATGGTATAATAAGTGAGAAGCGCACACTCTCAATTTGCTTGAAGAACATAGGTTGTTTTGCAGTTTTAGGCAAGGTAAACTCTACTTTAACTGGCTGGCTGGGATGGGTTTAACAGTGGAGAATTTCAGACGAAACATTTTTAAAAGCTTGATCTACTCACTTCAATGCATATTCAATTGTATGCATTTGTGTATAAAGTGTGAAAAACTGAACTCATTAATATTTTGAGGTTATAGGTTAACAACAAAGAATTAGATATAATTACTAAGCAACAGCATTAATATGCAGTAAATATGACACAGACTATATTTACTAACTTTCTCTCACGTAAAGGTTCCAGCTATTAGTTGCATTTTGTTTTCCATTTTTTCCCCCTATTTCCCCAATTATTTCGCCGCGTGAACGAAGCTTGTTCTCATTCACGTCATAAAATAATTAACCGAACTAATATTTTTCGAATTGTAGGCAAATGTACACAAGTACTACACAATTTATGTATGTGTGTATGTGCCGCAGCACACCCAGGCGCAGTATATGGAAACTGCACCATTACAAATTAATGTTCGACCTAAATTTGTTGTATTTCCGCATTTGGTATACTCGCATGTAAAGAAAGTAAAGAAAGAGAATTGTAAAAATAATTGCGTGATTTTCAAAGTCAACATTTACCGTTTGAAATGCGTATGCGCATAATAATTAGTTAGTATATAAGTCAATGCGTTTGAATGTGAGTAAACGTCGTACTATTTTGCAAACTATTGAAAGAAAAATGGGAAAAGTTGAGTCTTTGTTACGCTAACGCTCGATGTTACAATGAGTTTAGTTACTTGCTTGTAAACTGTGTCACCCAGCAAATGAAAACTACCAAATAATAATTATAAGCTTTAAAAAATTTTCTTGCAACATTATTATACCCTGTACAGTGTATATAAAGTTTGCCACGAAGTTTGTACCCTGAAGGAAATGATGAACTGAGTTGCTTTAGCCATGTTAGTCTGTATATAACCGGACTCGTCCCTCAGTTTTTGAGACATCGTTCTGAAATTTTGCATACGTCGTTTACCGCACGAAGCTGCTCATTTCTCGGAATCGTCGATATCGGACCGCTATAGGATATAGCAACCATACAAACTGAACAATCAAAATCAAGGCAACGATACAATTTCCAAAAAAAAATTTTCAGATCGGACCACTAAACCATATAACTGCCATACAAACTGACCGATCAAAATCAAGATAAATATCATTTTATACCCTTCTATGTTATAAGAAATGCACCTGTGCAGGGTATTATAGCTTCGGTGCAATAATTTATTTATTTAGGCATTATTTCATAATTAAGAGATCCTAAAAATAAATTTAATTTTATTCTCGTTATCTGAAGGCATCCACTGACAATTTTTTGACATGCTCACCCACTGATATATAAAAAGAAAACAAGAAAAATTACTTTTTATGTTGTCAACATCCACGTTTATCTACTTTAAGTTCTTGTTATGACTGGTCTCTGCTTTCTAGAGGGTAAAACTTATATACTTTTCATTGTATATAAAATTGTTATGCCGACTTGCTACTACTTTTACTTTGGGACGTTTCTGTGCAATATGTTGCTGATTTTCATAAATATAGGATAAAGTAAAAATTTTTGTGTCTTATTTATATTTAAAAAAAAAAAATTTTTTTATTCACAAAATTTTGGTTTTAAAACTATATACATAATATCGGTGAAATGTACGTTGTATAATTGGATAATAACTCTAATCCATACGGCTATTTTATTTATATAACTAATCGAATACACTTTAGATAAAAATATAATACAAAATTTAAAATATACTAATAACGAGTATTTATAAAACCCACATGTAACCAACTAGTTTGCTGAAAGTACAATAATGGGTAATGTAATATGATGCTTAAGACCTTGCAGACATCTTTTTTTAGAAATTGTTTGAAAATTAAGTATGATAGATGAACATATTTCAAAATTCACATGAAATATATATATTTTTTTTATAAAAAATTAAAACTAAAGAAGGCTTACAAATTTTTGAAGCTGATGCACATGTTATTTCAATTTAAAATTAACTGTAATATTTTATATATAAAAATGTTTCAAGTGAATATCAGAAGGATGTCAGAAAATAGGTTTCTTACACTTACACACATATAACCTACACATAATTTAAACATACATAATGTGTACTATATAAAAATGTTTAATCACACTTTTTTTTTACAAATGTCTTTCTTTTTAGGGCTCTCCTAATATGCAGCTACGCACTAGTGCACCAATGCGTTGGCGTGCCACAGAGGAACATATTGGAAAGTATAAGCTGATAAAAACAATCGGTAAAGGCAATTTCGCTAAAGTAAAATTAGCCAAACACTTGCCAACTGGTAAAGAAGTTGCTATCAAGATAATTGACAAAACCCAATTGAATCCGGGATCTCTACAGAAACTCTTTAGAGAAGTAAGTTGTAAAAATTTATCAATCAAAATGAAAAAGCAATTAATGCTATATGCAAATTTGCATTTTAGGTTAGAATTATGAAGATGCTCGATCATCCAAACATCGTGAAACTTTTCCAAGTTATCGAAACCGAAAAGACATTATATCTGGTTATGGAGTATGCGTCCGGCGGTGAAGTATTCGATTATCTTGTTTTGCATGGTCGAATGAAGGAGAAGGAGGCGCGTGTAAAATTCAGGCAAATCGTGTCAGCTGTACAGTATTGTCATCAAAAGCGAATTATACACAGGTTTGTAGTATTTGTTCAATAAAAAGACGTTTTTATTTTTATAATACATATTTATTGACTTTGACTAAAGGGATTTGAAAGCGGAGAATCTGTTGTTAGACAGCGAATTAAATATAAAGATAGCAGATTTTGGATTTTCAAATGAGTTCACGCCCGGCTCTAAATTGGATACATTTTGTGGCAGTCCACCATATGCTGCACCTGAATTATTTCAGGGAAAGAAATATGATGGTCCTGAGGTGGACGTTTGGTCTTTGGGCGTAATTTTATACACATTAGTTAGTGGTTCATTGCCATTTGATGGTTCTACATTAAGAGAACTACGCGAACGTGTACTCAGAGGCAAATATAGGTATGTTGTATTGTCAACCATAAGGAGGCATAACCTATAACCTCGTTTTTTTAAAATTATTTTCTCATTTTATTTATTTATACATTTCATTGATTTTATTATTAATAAATTTTATTTTTAATTATTTTGTTTTAACGCGTTTTAAACATTCGTATAATATTTTCTAAAGCATCACTATATAACGGTTTTCTTATACAGGATTCCTTTCTATATGTCAACTGACTGTGAAAATTTACTTCGTAAATTCCTTGTATTGAATCCAGCCAAACGCGCCAGTCTGGAAACTATAATGAGTGATAAATGGATGAATATGGGGTTTGAAGATGACGAATTGAAACCTTATATCGAACCAAAACAAGATCTAGCTGATCCCAAACGGATAGGTAAGACGGGTACTGTACACAAAATAATAACTTGATTTTATTTGTGTGTAGTTAGATAGAAGTGTTTTCCCCCTATTAATTAATGCCTGCATGCATTTTTAATTATCCAAATAGTATTATATATACATATGACTTTAATTTTGAATTGGGTAAACAAGTATTAACAAATGAATTGTGATTGTGCTGATTTTTAAGTGATTCAGCAAATATTTTGTACAGACGAAACAAACTATGTGCAATAAGGTCTAATGAAAATTTATTTTTAAAATGTATAATATACAAATATATAGAAAATTGTTTTCGATAATAATTTGTGCGTTTTCTTCTATATTACGGAAGGATAAATGTTGTGCCCAAATACAATTTTTTTTTTAAACTTTTTTTTTTATATATTTCCTATATGTGTGTATATAATTTGTTTTAGATACATATTTCCTTATGAGAATTTTCAATTGTAGTTTACATATTGTTTGTATCTCTAAACAAATAAGTACATATAAATACTTTCCTAACTCATTTGAAACGATGTAAATACCAATAGTACAAAAAATTCGTGCTCGAGCCAACAACAAATGTTGAAGTTGCGATTTATCATTGTGAGTATAAATTAAACTTGAATTTCCATTAAAAAAAAAAATAAAACAAAAAACATTTAAAGGCCACATAAAATTACTACACATACAAATAAAGAGTGTGTAGACATTATTAAATTGGTACACGGTTTTTTATTACGTCACATATGTTTGTGTTTGTCAATTCTAAATCAGCTAAATTAGTTATAAATACGTTATGTTGAAAGCGGCGCTTTAGATGTTTACAAATTTACAGGTTTATTTAAATCAAAGGCAAAGTATCCTTTAGGCAGCTACTTAAATGTGCAAACGCTGGATATGTAGTAAGGTTGATGATACACACGACTCAGATCCTTTAACTTAATAATATTTACAAAAATAAATAACGCCGAGATCGAAATTTGAATTTCGAACACATTTGTATACAATAATAAGCGTTTGAAAACCACAAGTTTGTCTATAAACTACATTATGGTTATTTTTTAAGTTTTTTCTGTGAAAAAAAAATTCAAGTGTTCAAACTCAGGCGCCAAGCAGCGGAAACATCCCTTCCAATCAACTTCAAATTGTATACAAAACCAGCAAAGAATAAAAAACAACACTTAAACATTTGTAACAAAGCGCCTACCATGCAGTTCCATATAAACGCTAGAAAATCACTTTTACAACCCATAAATTATGCCAGACTAACGCTTTTAGAGTGACTACCCACATAAATGTTAAACAACGTATACACCCAATCCTCTTTAGTAACGTTTTTTTCCTTGAATAAAAATAATAAAAATGACCACAATTTTATGGGCATTAATTAGCACACATTTCACACAAATATCTAACACAAACCTTTTCTTCCAATAAATTCACCAAACTGCAGAGGCTCTAGTGGCAATGGGTTACAACAGACAGGATATTGAAGTTTCACTGTCCCAGGTGCGATATGATGATGTCTTCGCTACTTATCTGTTATTGGGCAGAAAAAGCACAGATGTAAGTGTGAACTTTAATCGCAACAACAAATAATGTTTTATAATCATATTTAAACATACAACAATTTACAGCCTGAAAGTGATGGCTCACGTTCTGGTTCGTCATTATCGTTGCGTAATATGGGTGGAAACGATACGGGCGCTAATACGAATGCGTCCGCACAGAGTCCCACACATCGTGGCGTACACCGGAGTATTTCCGCTTCAAATACAAAACCAAGTCGACGTGCTTCATCTGGCGCTGAAACACTACGTAAGTGACTGATTTTTTATGTTTTAAAGTCTAGTAGTAGTAGCTGCAAAGAAATCATAGTAATTGTAGCGCATAACGAAAAATATGCTTTTGGAAATTTGCTATCGCTAAATCTGCTAACAAAAAATCAAAATTGAAATTTTTGAAAAAATACTAAGTATTGTATAATGAAGAATATTCGTTCACATGAATTCGCTTGCATTTTTATGCTTTCTAACCACAATTGTACAGATGCGCTGCGCTAGCTAAATTAGTTGCCTGACTTACAAATATTTTTAATTTCAAAATATTCTGTAAACATAGTATAACCTTAAGAGGCACACCTAAAAAAGGCGATTTTCGGGAATTGGGAAAAAACTACTGTATCTTTTGTTTTAAAATTATAAGGCTATACATACATATGTATATATATTTTACGAATACACATTAAAATTTTGGGAAAAAAAATTAAATGTTTTTCGAGTTAAAAAAACCGTCCTCAACTGCTGCAGTAATACCGGCCTTCTCCGTAAATGTAACCTAAAAAATAAGTTCTTTACTAAAAGATATTGGCTGTATATTGACCTACTGTCGAAACAAATTAAAAATTGGTTAAATGGCGGTGTTTAAAAAGTTGAATTTTCACTGCAATTTTGGTTGTTTTTGGTCTGCCAAAGTTTGATTTTAGATCAGGTCAAAAAAAAATTGCTAGTGATCGGATCATTTGTTTCTGAATAATCAAGCACTCAAGCAAATTTAAAAAATGTAGTAAATGTAATGTAAAAGTATGTTGTAATGTAGATATAGGTTGATAAAAACGCGTTTAAAGATAAATTGATGAAGCTGATTGAACACTTTAGAAGGCTGTAACTCACAAACTATTTGAGAGATTTGTTTAAAAATTTAGTATGTTCTTTTTAAAGGTATAACCTAACAAAATATGAAAAAATATTGATTATTTTTAAATTGTATACTAGGCGTGCCTCTTAAGCCTCCTCACCCTTCCTCAACAGTAGTGTAAAGTAATTATTTTGTATTAAGGATTTGGCGTAATAAATTTCTGAGCTAGCATTTCTACGCTTTGAAATTCAAATTAATATATGAATAATTCAAATTTTAATACAAAAATTAAAATTAATTTCAAATTCAAAAAAATAACACCAAGATTTCATACTTTAAATTCATTTACGCATATACATTTGAACTCAAATTTCGCAATTACTCATGCACTTTCTTCAAATATTGTATTCTCAATTGCAATGTTATCATAAATTATATTTAATTTGATAATACTCTTTGATCGTATTATCTAAATTTCTCATAAATTGTTTTAAAGCAGCGCTACATAGCACAATTTGTATATACAAATGAGGATGAAGTTTGTATAGTAAATGATTATTTCTATTTATGCCTAAAACATACATACTTTCAAATCATCTTAACACATTTTTGCCAAACAATACAATTCATAATTTTATGATGTTTAGAAATCTTTCAACGTTTTATCGCAGGTGTTGGCCCAGCTAATGCGGCAACAAATGCTGTAGCTACAGCTGCTCCTGGTGCTATAAATGCGGCGCCGTCCAACAACAATTACGGTGGAACTGGCTCCGGTTCATCCGCTGAGCGCTCTTCAATGTAAGTAGTTTTTGAAATGAAAGCAATTTAAAAAAACATACGCATATTTTACATTTTCTTACATATTATTCGTTTTGCTTACTGTTGTATTTCCTGCAGTAGTAGCAACTTTAAACGCCAAAACACAATTGATTCGGCCACAATAAAGGAAAATACTGCGCGGCTGGCAGTACAAAATCACAGACCCACATCAGCTACTCAAAAGCTTTTAACAACCGCGGATACAAGTAATTTATGTTTGAATTTTATACTAATACAATACGTTAGTAACTAAATTTTTCGTCTCTTTTAATATTTTTGCAGCACTCAACAGCCCCGCGAAGCCGCGCACTTCAACAAAATACGACACATCAAATACTAATCGCACTACTGTTGGCACCAGCGGCATGATACCACGTCGTTCCACCACATTATATGAAAAGACTTCATCAACTGAAAAAACTAATGCATTGCCAGCGGAAACAAAGTAAGTGCTATGTTACGAACTCGAATGAAAGCAATAATTTTCTGGCGAATTTTTGTAAAATCCCGGTGTCTTTTATACTTGCGCGATTTGAAAAGAAATTCATTTTTATGATTTTCATTTTTATAACCCTTTAAAAATCTGAAAAGTCTTTTGATAGAAAAGAAACACAAAGTTAGTGATTCCAATCAGATTGACTATTTAAGAAATGTTTCAAAAGATAATATACAGTTATATACTAAAAATTATATCATAAAGACAACATCGATATATAGGCTTTAGTGACATATTATTGATCATTTCTAACAAATACAGTTTCGTTGTTAATTTATACGGAGGCGACTACACCCTACACAATTGAGCCAGCATTTAAACGGGACATTGTAGTATAGTTAGTTGCAAATGCAATTAAATGCGAATGCTGTATATATGTGCATATGTATAACTGCATTCAAGGTTTACAGCAACTCATTAGCTCTTGTACTATATAATTTTTCATAGAAAACGTCATTTGATTTTTTTAGACATATTTTTCAGTTGTTGGTGCATACACTTATGCGTGTAAATATATGTATATACACATAATTATCATCATATTATAGTAATTTGTAAGCAGTAATTTCGCGTAATATTATTTTTGGAAAATGTAAGATAATTTGTTTAAAAATATTTTTTTCAAAACATGGTCTCTTGCATATTTATACAAAATTATGTCTAAATACACATTTCTAATACTTTTAAACTGTCACTTTCCAAACTTGAGTGTCTTGTAATAGCAGCTTTTTGAAAAAAATTACAATTTTTTGTCGATTCGATTTTTCTGAAATTAATCTTTCTTGACACGCACAATTAGTGGATCTGCCAACTCTACAGGAAAAGGCCATGTTAAAAGCGCCTCTGTCTCCAGCCCTGGCTCGACCGCTGAGGGAGGAGTCGCTGTTTCCAATGAAACACTCGGAACGAGGTATAAGACATAATAACACTTACAAAAACAAAAACAAAAAACATAATAACCAACCAATTACACAATTTGCTTAGTATGGATTATTTGATTTCGTCTTTTAGCTATACACATTTAATTGCTATTGATTTCTACAATAGTGGTATAAAAAAATTCAATAAAAACTCTTTGTGAGGCCAGTTCAAACATTTGTTGAGTAAAGTTACATATTTTCAGTGCTTTTTCAACACTCGTAAACAAGCGAGTAGTTATAGCACTTCAATTCAAGAATTCCACGTGTTTTTTTTTTTTTTTTGTTTTTTATGAAGAAGACATTTTGTATTAAAAATTTCAACTTGTTCGCTCAGCACCTTAAAAAGTCCATATGTTGTAATTCATCTATCTCTGTTATTGACAACTGCTGTTTTTAGTGTATTGACGAAATTGCGTTAATAGCAACTCTAATTTTATTATAACTTTCTATTTTCATATTTGCAATTTTATTTTTCTTATAACTAAGTATTTTCTTTTTTCTTGCCTCCTAACCTGTTGTATGGATTACACAAAACCAACATTGAACGCGGATGTACTTGAACTATACGCATATACGCCATGTGCACACTTCTTCAATGCTACTTCAATGCGGTGAGTGTAAAAATTCAAAGTTCTTAAAACTAAAATTTACTTTTTATTAACAAATTAGTGAATGGTCGTATGTACTCAAAAGCTAAGCTCTGCACAATTTTTAGTGTATATTAATTTTAAATTAACTGTTAATTAGTTTAAATTATTTTCTATTACCATAATGCAATAGCTTAGAAAGTGCGAAAAAGTGCCAAGTCGTGGCATTAAGTTCGTTCTGAAGCCTAACAAAGGTTTGCGCGTGTGAAATTAAAATATTTTTTTGCCAAACATTTAATATTTTTGCATTACTACTGTAATGACAACGTACTTTAGAACCTTCAAATTTTTTTTTAGCAACAAATTGCATATAATTTCATTTTTACAAAAAATATTTATTATTTTTCACTGTACCGCTCTTTTTTAGCACCTGGTTTAAAGAAGCTTCGTTGAGTGTTAAAGTGCAAAGTTCATAATTGGTTTAAATATATATATTTATTTAATTTTTTGCACCGTTATGCTTTTATATTTTAATTTTCACAGCTGAGTACTCATAACATTTAGCTTATGCAAGTTTTCTTCAATTCAATGCTGCTTCAGTTACTTCTTTTATTAATTTGTATGCACTGGTCTTCTAAAATACGAATTTCTCATCATAACAATACTATATAGCCAATCGATTGCTTTATTTATTGTTTATTTCAAAAGTGAATTATTTATAAAAAAAAAATATTTAAAAAGCAGAGCAAACTGCTTGATACATTCAAAAATGCATATGTCCGCACATTTCTTTTGCCGTTTTATTTATTAATTGTATTTATTTAAGCCTAACTTAATATACGTACATATGTATTTATTTTTACTTACTAATATAATTTATAATATACATTTATCTATATTTGTTTATGTATATTAAAATATACCCGACCGCCCTTTTACAAATGACATAAAATTATCCAATATATAATATTTTAATATAGACATATAATTTGTATTAAAAAGAATATTTAATATTTCAATAAGGGTATTTTAGGAACGGAGTTTAATATTTAAACAAAAATTATATTTATATTTTTAGTTTTTAATTTCAATTGTGGTTTGTTAAACCAAAATGAATAACAAACTAATTTTTAATTGCAAAATCCGATTTAAAAATTTATGAAATATAAATCGTTTGAATGTGTAAGTTTCCCGGACTATTGCTCTAGAATTTTGAATATGATCGTTCAAAATGGTAGAACCCAGAGTACGCAAACGCGAAAAAATGTTAATTCAATTTTTTTTTAATTAAAAACTTGGAATTATTTTTTTTTCAATCCAGTATTTGGGACTAAAAATTTATTTTTAATTTTGCAATCCGGTATTTGGTATTGGACGTTTATTAATTCCATTAATTTTTTAATGCATTGTTTGCAACCCTGTCTAGTATTCATCAAAACCACTGATAAACATTGAAGGAAAATAAGAAAAAAATTGTAAATTCAGTAGTTTTTGTATAAAGTTAATCGGGTTTATTAAATAATTGGTAAATTTTATTATACTCTCATTTTTGCATACTCCATTTCATTAGAACTTTCAACGCTTGTGTATATAAAATTATAAAAAAAACTCTACTATATTTTGCTTTTGCATACTAAACCATTTCATTATTATAATGCTTGTTTATTGGCGTTATTTTTTATTTATTTATTTTTAATATTGGCCCTACGCCCCAATCGGAGTTACAAGAAATAATAAATATATATATATATATACTGGCGTTATTTTCTTCTTCTTTTTATTTAATATAAAATAAGTTTCAAAATACAATGCAAAATATATGGCGACATTTTGACTAAATTTTTTATGTACATATGTATGTATTTAGCAGAGTAAACTTATGCCGATATTGTGTAAATTTCATAAAGTTTAGTCAATGGCAATCGATTAACACTAGGTTATAGTACAAGTACTAGTCAATGTAAATATTAATATATACATACGTCAATTAGCTTAAGCTGCCAAGCATTTTATGTAAACTATCTTAATTATATATGTATGTGCACTTTATTTAAAAATTTTAATTTCGTTGTTTTTTAATTTACGTTTTTTATTCTTATTTCTCTTACGCATGAAAACACATATTGGACATCGCTACGATCTCAAATCCAACATGAACTACCTAATTTGCTGCCTAACTGTTTGTTCGCTTACCGTTCGTACCGTTCCATCCCGTTCAATTGTGATTACAAATCAAATCAAATCAAACCAAAACTGACCACCACCACCACATGTACATGCCCATCTCGATAATAAAAAAATCAATAAAAAAAAATATATGCATATATACATATGAATAACAACATTCAATTGCAATGTAATGATATGGCAAATAATCCAACGCGCTTTGCTCCTACAACGATTTGTTTACATTTAATATATAATCACATGTGTGTGTGTCTATTATGTGTACATCCTTGGACGCAATCAAATCATGCATTTAATATAAAAACAATACAAAAACAAATAGTTTCCTCAAACAACTTAGAATGACGTCGGCTGTTAAGTCTAGCAGGCATTTCCCCAGGAATGTGCCATTACGATCAACCTTTCATTCTGGTGAGTTGTCCCTTTTTAAATTTAGACTTTTTAATCTATGTAAAGCATACTGATCTTCTTTTTTTTGAATTATATAAATAAAGTTATACATTTTAAATAACAAGAAATCTACAAAAAAAAAATAATAGAAATTAGTAAGCTAAATTTTAATTTTCCACATTGGCTTTAGTAAAAAAGCACCGATAATTCAAAATACATATTTATTCAATATATAATTAATGTTTTCTGTTCGAACACATGGTTTTTATAGTCAATGCCCAGCCACTTTAGAATGTGTTGAACAAATTCTAACCATAATATATAATTAAAAATTAGTACATACATAGTATATGCTATAATAATAATTTCGAAAATTAATATATTTAGCGAAAGTGTCTTGAAATTATGCAACATATCAATAATTTGGGTGGTGTTTAAGCATATTAAAAATATACTTGCATTTTTCTGCGGACTGCGAACATACTGCTTAACTTCTTAACCGAAATTTACGGACATGCTTTTTTTATTGAGTTTCTAAAAGAAGCTAACTGCTAACGCGCCCAACTAAAGCGCTTTTCATCGCGTTCATAACAACATTACTCTTACTCTTACTCTAGCGTGGCACTCGCTTACACGCAACTCATGTTTTTCATACATTAAACCGTGGTTTTACAACATCTTACGTATTTAATTTACATAATTATACGCGTATTACTCATTGCAAAAGCTTTTTATATCGGGACAATAATCATATTTACATATAAATAACGCTGCTTATTTTTAATACAAATGCGCAGCAGACAGTGACGTTATTAAACTGCCGCATTAACTTATTTAATTGGTTCAATCGAAATTGGGAAGTAAATATTTGAAGCTTATGCGCTTCTGCTCAACCAGCGCTTTTGTGTGGCCATAACTGACATTCATCATTTGCCAGCAAACGGTACATGAAAAATGAACGAGCGCTTATTTTCATACACTGTTAAACATTACTGTTCACTTTTCCGATTCGTTTCCGTTAAGAAATTTTATTTCTTAAGTTAATTTCGTTCAAAGCATGCCACAATAATTAATTTCATATATATTTTTCTGCAGATATTTGTGTTGTGCTACTTAAAAATTTATTTATATCAGTTTTTTCAAGCACTTGAATACTCGACGTGAAGGATATTGAATTGAATTCCAGAATTCTTACAAATTAAAAAGCATAAGTGCTAACTGCATAGGTATATAGGTTGCATTTTTTAGTTAGATGAAGGCATAATTACCTTAAGGGGCACACCTAGATGTGACAGCCTAGAAAAGTAATTTTTCGGAATTAAACAAAAGAAATCATTTATCAATTGTTTTAAAATTGTAAGCGTATATATTTTAAGAATACACAGTGAACTTTTTAAAGCATAACATTAAGAAATTTTTGACTTATACGCGATCTCCGACGGCGCTAAAACTGCTGCAGTGCTTCCGGCTTTCTCTGTGGATGAAACCTATAAAAAAATTCTCTCTAAAATTTACTATTCATACAATGACTCACGATCGAAAAAATATAATATTAAAAATAAAAAAATGGGTGCGTTTTAAAAAAAAAAAGTTGCATTTACCCAAAGTTTTGGTCGTTAAAAAACTGTCAGGCCATTGTATGGAGCCTTGGAGACTGGAGAGAACATGCAGAAAAAATGTAATAGTGATCGGATCATTTGTCTCCGCAATATCAGCTGCGTAATCACTGCAGTAAATTCGAGAAATGTAGTTTCGAAAAAACGCGTTAAAAGATAAAATGCTGGAGCTACCCTTGAACAGGGCGGCTACAGTTTAGAAGCCTGTAACTAAGAAAAATATTTGAAATATTCATTTAAAATTTTAGTATAGTATTTTTAAATACAATAAACAAAATTAACAAAAAAAAATAAAATAATTTTTTTTTTTCAAATTTCACATTAGTTGTGCTCCTTAAAAATTTTTGTCAGTACATTTTATTTTGTTTTTGTATTTTTATATATATTTTTATTTTTTTTACTTATTTTAAATAATTTTTTTTTGGAATTTTTCGAATTTTTTTTTTAATATTATTTTTTTTTTTGAATTTTTTCTAAATATTTTTTCGTTCAGGACTTTAGACGCTGCATAATATTTGTTGAAATTCGCGTTTTTTGGGGTTAATTACCACTTATAATGTTCAAATAATGTAATAAACGGAATGAATTGTTGTTGTGTATTTTATTTTATATTTTCTCTAATTGTTATGATATTTAACGACACACTGAGCATCTCAGTGTAATATAGTAGGCAATTTTAAATCATAAATATACATATATAACTATAACTTTAGTTAAATTTTATTTAGAAAAGGCTCATGTAAATTCAGCAGACTTTATGCGCCTACATTTTTGTCGAAGAATAATAAATTTATATTTTTTATTGTAATTAATATTTTTTATCTACTTTGCTTGCATTGCCCAGCTAATGAACACTTTCAAATCAATAATTTTACAGGTCAAACAAGGACTAGAAACAATGCTGCATTGGAGTACTCCGGAACGAGTGGTGCCTCGGGCGACTCACCACATCCAGGCAGAATGAGTTTTTTCTCGAAACTGTCATCCCGATTCAGTAAACGGTAAGTAGTAAAAAAAAAGAAACAAAGCCATGAATAAATTGTTGAATAAAAGTATTTAATTTGAATATTGCATTTTTCACCCATTCACAAATTCTTAATTTTGTTGTATAAATATAAATTTTGTAATAATTTATTAAAAATGTTTTCAAAGAGATGCTAAAGCATTAAATTAAATATAGTTGCTAATGTTGAGGGCAAGCAGTGCGCTCTTATAGTTTTTCCAACACTATGCTAACTACTTATAATTTTGAAGAGAAACTAGTTTTTTTTTATAGCATGCCATATAAAGTAAATAAATTGCAAATCATGCGAGGAAACAGTTCATTTACGACATATATTTAATAAAGTAAAGCCGCATACATTTTTCGAATGTCAAACGTACATCCACATTAACACAAACTAATTTTCTTTGCAACATGCTGTATTACATACATTACTGATTACAATTCTGCTCGGTTCAGCATTAATTCATTTCCAAAAGATAATTGTAACTAACTTAATCTACTGGGTTGCGGAAACGTGCATAACATAATACATAAAAAATATTTGTTGTGACATGGGTGTTGGTTGGTTGTTGTTATACTTTTAGAATTAGCTTATTTTTTAGACTATGCGACACTGTGGGACATCGTAAATAACGAGGAAAGTTGCAAGCGTTTATTTTCCTTATAAATTTCAATGCAAAACATTAACAAAATGCTGAGCGGTACAATTATTAAGTCCCTAGATAAGTATTACATTCTTACCAGCTGTTTACCCAGCTTCTCGGCTTCACGTATAATATCGTTAGATGCTACGAAGTGCTGAGGTATGCTCATAAATAACTTTTCGAGTCAAGAATACGATCGGAGGTTCTAACAACAGCTGCCGCTGTTCGATGATTAATAATAATAATAATAAATCACTTTTGCTGAGAGTTTGACAATTTTTATACTCCAAAATCGTATTAGGGCTTAATGCTATCTTAAAAGTACGTACTCATGCCATTCAAAAGCACGTTCAAATTGCGGATGATAATTTTTAATAATATAATCATCTATTTCAAATCCAAGAACACACAAAAAAAATTCTTCTGTTATACCAAATGATCAAATTTGACCCGGTCCGTTAACAAATCTATATTATCGCCTTCAAAATAGTCTCCAATTAGGTATTTTGGTATGAGTCTAGCATTGACATGCCTAAAACCCACATGTGATAAAGAAGACTCCCCAAAACACTTATGCAGCATTTTCAACTGGAAACACAAATTTTCAAGCAAACTCGTTGTTCAATTTTCTTCCATCATAAAAATATACAAACCTTTCGCGTCGTAAACAAATAGCTGTAAAACATAAACTAATTGACATATGGTAAATAAACTTTACGCGAACATAAAGAAGAGGTTGTGCCAATCCAGGAAAAAAAATGTATCGATTAGGTTTGCGCACGCAGTTAGTAGGGGCGGATCATTATTTTCAGATGGTATAGCAATAATAAAACCATTAATTTTGCAAAAGTTTTACGAGTGTCGCATATTTTTCTAATTATTGTAGTAGTCGCTCATATAATATTTCATTAAATAAATTCACTTCGAATAAGGATGTATTAGATGTATGTACGTGCAAATTAGCCTTTTTGTTCAAAATTGTCAAAAAAAATATATAACTTTTGATTACCATCGTATTGTTACAGGCAAATGAAATAATTAGAAGAATTTTCGCATATGAAAAATAAATAGGCAACAATTAAGTTATGGGAATGTGGTTGGGTATTACGCAGTCACTAAATTCTTAAAGAAAAATGTATTACAGTATATAAATCGTCTATTTAAATAAATTTTAGGACGCTTAAGTATTATGCGAAATATAGTATGAATGTAATTTAGTTAAAAAATTAAAACAGAAAAAATCTACGCGCCATTTTCTGCTGATCATAATTTTTTCTTAAAAAAAAGGTGAAATTTCGGAAAAAAATTTTTAAGTCACTAAAATTGTAAATCACCAAAATGTGAAAACATTGAGCACATAGTATACGTAGTTTTGTAGCAAAGTAGTCTTAAAAGGTTTGGTAAACCTGCTTGTAGCTGGCATAAATTCTTAGTATAGTATGTTTCAAAATGTGTTAGTTTAGCAAAAATTTGGCTATGAATTTGAAATATTTTTTTAAATTAGATTTAATTGTAGTGTGAATGTAGCAATAGTTTGATTTAACAAAATGTTGAGCACAAAATTTCGACTCCATCCTCCTCACTACCCAGTAAATATATTGTATTGTATTTATTGTTCCATTTAAGTTTTTGAAAAATTATATTCAAGTTACTTAACCAAACGCGCTGAGTTTCTATCGAAATTGTTTGCATTTTCAAAAATCAAAGAATTGTTGGAGCAAATTTGCACTCTAGTTGTGCCCTTTGAAGTCCAATATTTAAGGTAGTAACTGTTACTACTTTATATTGTGTATTACTTAGCGCGTGAAACAGTTTGCTACTCTAGTCAAAAATAACATTTTATGTCAAAATAGTTCGCTTTTAGACAATTTGAACCAGCGTAGCCGAGTTGGTTGCTATATTTCAGTGTATGATGAGGTCAAAACACAGTAGTGTTCTTCCTAGGCGCACGAATCAATACGAATCATTTCACTCCAGAGACTCACATTTTTCTTGTTTTATTGTTATTTTTTATTTTTGTTTTGCATGTAAAAAATTTGTTACAGTTTTCACAGCCAGCGATTTTTTGTTTTTACTAATCCTTAAATTTTTATGATGCAATGTACAATATTAAATCGTTGGTGTCTGCGAAGTTAAATTTACGCGTCTTTTTTTTTTGGCACATCATGTCATAGATTGATTACGAATGACAAAAACAAAAAAATTAAATTATAAATTTCGGATAACGTGTTTTCGATTGATTTGTAGCAAAAAAGGCAAAATATTCTATCGAGATGTGATAAGACTGTTGGCTTAAGAGGTTTTATTCACTTGCAAGTCAGTAAAAATGCGTGCATTTTATTTATTAAATAACTTTAAAAAAAAATACTTTAATAATCGACGATTCATTTTGAAGAATTTGGAATTCCCTTGGTCCCATAGTCGATTTCCAGGTGAACCTCCGAAAAAAAGGTAACTGGCGTTTAGGAAAATGATTTTTCTGCTGAAAATTATCTCCAATACAAAAACCAAAAAGAAAATTATTACTATAAATGAATGATCAAAGGACTAGTCAAAATTTTGATTTTATTTTCGTTTTTCATGTAAAATTTTACACTTCAGCAACGTTAAAGAAATTGAAATTATTATCAAAAATCTTATTCCTTCGATCATTACCTGACAAATATAGCGCTCCGCCTTGTTGAAGAAATTTTTCTCACTTCTGTACTAAGTAAAAATTCTTACAAATACGCTTATAGCTACAAAACTATTTGCCGGATCAAGCTCAAACTTTCAGAGTATATTTTCCAAAATATGTAAATTCGTTGTATATTCAAAAAAAAAACCATCGATTTTTTGAAATTCACAAGTGAATATCACCTTTAAGTGGTTTTGCAGATATATTTATTTTCATTGCTATTCTCCTTGGGCATTTAAAATCGACCGGTATTTTCATTGCATAATTGCAATTATTCTGTAGGAAATGCTGGATTGTAAGGCTTTTCTCACCTGTTCTGCACCACCTGTTTTCGTTCACCTTCTTCTATGTCTTGTAAATGTAAAAAGATTTTTATTAAACGACAACGGAGAACTAACGAAATTACGCGCTCGTCACTAATAATATTACACATTTGCATTTTCTATTACCAAAACAGATTAAATATATATGCATGTCTTAATTAAACAATATAAATTCGCACTCGAAATTAAATGGCATGCCAGTCATCATGGAACTTTCTCAATATTCATATATTTATTAGCATTTTGTATAGGTATGCCATATTTTATGCAATTTTTTGTGCATTTAAGTGATTTTTTTGTACAACGCCATATATACGTTAAATAAAATATAATATTTATTCACAAATAAGTGCTGAATATCAAGAATGAGCGAGCAATCACAACATAAAAGGACAAACTAATGCTATTTGCAAAGTAAAAGAAAAAAAAATATTATAAATAATTGTTGAACAAGCGTCAAGCGTTGCGATTTGTGTTATTATGGAAAGTTTTATATGCGTCTGCAGAGATATTTCATTTGCCAAGTGACAATCCTTTTGTATAGTGCCAGTACATATGAGTGTATGTAAATATTCAAATATTATTCAATGGTCATCATTTAAAAGCTATTGTAGCATTCAATTAACTAATATATATACGAGTACATATACATACATACATACATATACATACGATGTATGCTTTTATATACATACGAAGTATGCTTTTATATACATAATATATATGCAGCTTTTTTATGTAATCTTTGTCATCTTTGTACGCGTCCAGACGAAAAGTTATAGAAATATTCAGTAAATGGTCACATGCGTTACTACAAAAATACATATGAATGTTTTGGAAACAGCTAAAAGTGATGTACATACATACATACTACTTACATGCCACATAACAGTTTTAATAAAAAAAGTAAAAAATAATTTAAAAAAGAAAAACATAATTACAATTTAATTGGGGTTAGCAATAATAAAACGTTTTATAAATTAAAGTCAGCTTTTTTTACTACAGCATATATATACATACATATATATAAATATATATATATATAGCTAAAAAAAATCAAATAACCTCTACTACATATTACGTTTGTTTAGTAAAGCATCTTTAAACAAAAATTTACTTCTCTCCTTCTATTTTTTATTCATTTTATATCGCACATGCTATATATATTTGTATTATTCGGTTTCATAAGAAGAATATCTAGTTGTTTTTTGTCTTTTCGTTATTTATTTCTTTTCTATGTTCATTTGTAGTACTCCTCTTCAGTTGATTGAGATATTTAATGTTTTAGTATTTCTTGAAATATTACCAAACAATATTTTTTTAACAGTGAATAATTTCTTTTACTATTATTTTTTCTTTAATTTTAGGCCAAACCAGTAAATAACAAAAACAATGTTACGATTTAACGAATGCTAGTAGAAATTAAAACGAAAAATTTTACTCTTGAGTGAATGAAGGAGAGAAAACATTTCAAGTCTGCGGCAACGTTTGAAATGAGTTATAATCAGTAAACGCAACATATTACGTTTGAATAATAAATATACCACACACGTTTACTTTAAATCAATGTAAAGTAAACGAAGTTTGCAAACACAAACAAAGCAAAAACAAAAACAAAACAAGAAAAAAAAACATTAAACATAAAATATAAAATATACATAAAAAAAAGAACGCTAACAAATAAGTAACGTCAATATTAATTTAATAACAAACAAAAACAAAAACAAAAAAAACTTAAAAAATAATATAAATATTTTTTATATCACAACATTCTGTAGCAATAAGATCGCGCTGAAAGTTATATACATTTTAAATTAATAATTCTTTGTTGTTTTAAGTTAAAAATAGTAAACGCAATTGTGACCATTTAATTTCTATAGTTTTTTGTGCACTGTATTATCAAAACTAAACTAACGTCGTGATCTTAAACAAAAAATAATTACATTTAATATAATTACGTTTATTTAGAGCATGAAGATTGAAGTTAAGTAATGATGCAAATGAAAAATGCTGTTAAAAGTAACGAAGGCATAAAAACTCCCACTAAGAAAGGATATGTCTTATCGATTTATATACACGTTTTGTCAACTTACATATACATATATATACAATATATAATATATATATATAGATAATATGATAATATAATTAAAATAAAGTGAAAACTATCAACATAACACGAGAAACACACACACACTCACTCAAACACATTTGGCAAGTGGAAGCAAAGCCTTAATAAAATAAAATAAAAGAGAAAACGAACTGCTTGATGATTCTACTTCCTAATTGTTCTATTAATTTCGTGGCTTATTAAAAAGCAGCAGCAGCAGAACAACAAAATTGTATATGTTGTGTGCAAAACTCCTAAACAGTATATCGTACGATATGAATGAATATTTGTCAATACATTAAGTAGTTAATAATATTTGTGTATGTGTTTTAAACAACCAATAGACGCAAATAAATCAATTTAGTAAACAATCTAACGAGTAACGAGTTTATATTTGTAATGGATGGAACTGTATTATAAAATACAAATTATACACAAACACACATACACACGAACCCACTACATTTATCGTAAATAAAATTCATTGTATGTAATATAAAGTTTTAGCTTAAGTATATTAGTATATATATATATAAATATATTATATATCCCGTTTGTGTAATAAAAATATAAAAATAAACAAAGTGTGACTATAATATTATTTTCAAATATATTAGTTTTGAAAATAAATTAATCATGTATTTTATAATTACTTTAGTACAGTGTTCACTAGTACGCTACGCGACATACGGCATGAAATGATACAGTTTTGTTCACTTTGGTTTTAACACATATGTATGTATGTAGTATGTACTATATTTATGTAGAATGTCCATTATATAAACTGTATTATACAATACAATTAATAAAGCATGCTACTTGTACATAATTTCCTTGATTCATTAATATTTAAAATTAGTAGATTATGTAATGTTTATTTAAAAAAATACACACCTAACCGTGCATAACTGTGGGCACACAAAGCATAAACGTTACTTTAAATTCATATGCGATGCACAAGTAAACTGCCACCAAAAAATAAACAAAAGACAAAATTACAATCAAAAAAAAAAAAAAATTAAAAATTAGAAAAAAAATCAGTAAAAAATAATTCGATTCTAATTGCTTAAAACTAGGGCTCATAAAATTACAATATTTGAATAACCTGAAAAACGATTATTCGAACAGTCGTTACATCGCGACTATTCGAATAGTATTTGAATAAATGAAAATTGTTTGAAATCCAAGCAGCCTTTGATTTTTTTTTTTTTTTTTTTTTAATGAATGAATGAACGCTTACTATTCGAATAGTCGACAACGAATGGTTAACCAGATAGTCGAACATCAGCGGTTAATGGAATAGTCGTTGACTTACGACTATCCGTATACTAAAAGCAAATATCTATCCGTTTAATTCGGTTAGTCGATTAGTCGAATACCAAGAGCTCTACCTAAAACGCTCGCTTTCGTATTTCACAAGATCGAAAATAACTGTTATGCCTTCCTGCCATTAAAACGTCTTACCCGTATGAGTCGGAACATTTTGTTAACGTTTAGAAAATTCATTTACACTTCGTCTACAAAAATTACAAGCAAAATTATGATCAGCAGAAATTTGCGTTTGGAGTTTTCGAATATTAAATTTTTTTCCAGCGTGTTGCGTAGGAAAATTATTCATTAAAGTAGCGGCAATAAATTTAAAAGATGCATATTGTAAAATAATTGCCGCCTTGGCAACACTTCCTAGTTTCCAGTCTACGTATTTGACGACGATTTTCAGAGTTTGTGAGAAAATAAAATACAAATTTTATTTGTACTACCTTATTCTCAATACCTGCTCAGCTTACCAATTAATATCCTTTGAATTAGATCCAGCCTATTAACAACCCGCCCTAGTAATATGCTTAAATTGTAGCTTTTCAAACCTTTTGCCATAAATATAGACACCAAAACTGGGTTATAAAACGCGCTAAAACTACTTAATTACGGGTAACAAATTTGTTTGTTTGTCTATTCTAAATCTCTGCAGTGCTTCAACCACTGAAGAATCAGCGAAGCCGCGCGTTTTGCGCTTTACATGGTCTATGAAAACCACGTCGCCGCTGATGCCCGATCAGATAATGCAGAAAATACGAGAAGTGCTCGATCAAAACAACTGTGACTACGAACAACGCGAAAGGTGAAGGCAAAGCCATAAGTGTTTTGAATTAAAATTTTAAAAATTTATCTGTTCCACAGGTTTGTGCTCTGGTGTGTACATGGCGATCCCAACACCGATTCATTGGTACAGTGGGAAATTGAAGTATGCAAGTTGCCACGATTATCGCTCAATGGCGTGCGTTTCAAGCGGATTTCAGGTGAAAACAAAAAAAAATATTAGTATATTTTGAATTTAAAAAAAGTTATTAATATTTTTAATAATTTTTTTTTTGTTTAATTTACTTTTGTTTGTTTATATATTTGACTTTTGCTATATAAAAATTGCAGGCACCAGCATAGGATTTAAAAATATTGCATCGCGCATAGCATTTGACTTACGACTGTGACTCCACCAAACCAACACCGACGCGGCTGCCTTTGGTACTGATACAACAACAACTACCACACCTACACGCTGTTATCAACATACAAAAACATTGACCAACAACCATACCACAAATATGAAAACATTTAACCTAGACATCACCAGCAACATCATAAATGAAACGCTTGCAAAAAATAATGCAAAACCCGAATGTAGCAAAAATTGTGCAAACAACATTTTTGGCAAAAAGAAATACAATTATTTGGATGATAATAAACAAGAAACGCTAACATTACCACCAGCTTCACCAACTGCTTCGAATACACAATGCGATTGTTCGGCATTCGAATCACTAGAAAATAAGACTCAGATGCAAATTAAAATGAATCGACGGAATTCGCCAACAAAGACACCAACAAAAATTGGCAAGGACAAAAAATCAATAACTACCGAGAATATTGTTGGTTTGACAAAGACAAAATGTTCGATAGAAACGTTGGAGAATTCGATCTCGCTTAAATCTGACATTGACGCGAATGCACAAGAATCATCACAATCACCGACAACAACAAACCCCGAAAAGTCTATTACCAAAGGTAACCATTTGATGAAGAAAACATTGGTAGTGGAGAAATTGAGGAGTACCAATAGTGTAATTGCACGCAAATTGTTTGCCACCAAGCGAGCGGTTACACCAAATAGTAATAGCACTGACAAAAATAAGGAAGCGCAGATAATAACGGATTCAACAGATTTGGATGATGACGACACAAATACCAATACAACTGCAACAACTGCTACTGTAACAACATTGCATAAAACAGATAAAGTTAAAGAGGAAAGTCAAAGCATGATCACCTCACTGCTGCGTACAACAACGCTTTAAATTGTTTGTTGAATATCATATGCTTCAAATTTCGTCTTTAATACTTCTGAAATCTCTTAAAAATAATAATACTGTATTTATATTAAAACATAGCCCCAATAATATAACCCTGTTTTTATATATGCCCTTTTCATGTTCAATAATTGTTATGATGCATACCCAACAAAACACACATACAATATACAATACAAAATACAAAATACATGTAGCTTATGTTAAACAAATTTTGTGTTAAAACAAAACATGTAAAAACCAGAACAAAACTAAAACTAAAAAAAGAATTATAAGCAAATGTGCAGCGCTGCTTTTGTGTGTTCTCGTTGATTTTTCATATGTACGATTCACCAATCAACTTTGCTGAGAGACGATTTTAAAGGCATATTTGAGCGTAGTATACGAGAATGCGTTTCGAATTAAAATTGTACAACTCTAAGAAATCATTTTCCACAAACATAATCAAAATATCCCATCGAAACCCTTTCGCACCAAAGTTGAAATGAAATTATAAAATATTTCTACATTTTTTTTTCCTTCTATATTTTCTGTTGTCTATACGTTTTCACAAACTTTTATACAAACATCTGTAATCGCTAAAAAGTTTATAGTAAGTTTTAAATTAAAAAATGGCAATCATTTCTTTACGCATGTAAAGTTAATAGCTTTTTAATATACATACATATATAATTTAAAAAAAATTACAATATTTTAACATTTCAATACTTAATTACAAGCTCATTACTATTGTTTGAAAACATTGGCACATAATCATAAACAGAATATATTGTAGTATTCAAGCATTACTATTAACCAATAGCGTTGTGCTTATTTGTAAAAAGTTGACTGTCGACAAATGAAAAAAACACTGCAAGTAAGATCGACGACTTCATTTTAACTTGTGATCGTGATCATATATCATAGTTTTTATTATATTTTTTATCTACCTGCGAGCGATCGGAAAATTGCAAATATTTATTTTATATTATGACAATTTTTTATTAACTAAAATTTTTATTTTTTATTTTACTAAAGACATTTTTTGTTGTTTAATGCACTTTTAATTATTTAATAAATCTGTGCTGCAATCTTTCTAAACTTTAACGAAGTGAAAATACATTAGCTAAAGTGCCAACGTACATAGCTCATTGGCTAAGATTTCGTGTCAGTTTGCCTAAATTTCAGCCTCTTTTATGCCTTTTATCATTTGTTGTCTACAAACATTTCTACGATAAAGCAAATGTTTTATCGTTGCATTAAAACCATTAATAAAGTAAAACATGAATTAGACAAACTACCATTTACACTTCCACAACAAAAAGCACTTTAAATTTGAGGAAAAAAATCATTAGCCTATCACTTTATAATCTTGTATTCCATATGCATACGGAAATACAATAAAAGAATAAATAATAAAAAATAAAAAACAGAACAGTTCAAAACTTATTCTTAGCATGGAAGTATTATGTTGGAATATTTTTTTTTGTGTCAACGAGAGTAAGTTGAAGCTATGCTGCATATGGATACACTTCTCTGATGAAGACCGGAACTTTGCAAACGGAGAAAAGGTCAGATAACTACACAATTTTACAGTCTTATCTGAATTTCTTATGAAATTTAGTGTGGTATTGATGGAAAGTAAATATGTATGATTGGTTATGTATTTTTTTTAAAGGTTCATCCTAAATGTATGCTGCGTTTCTTTATTGTCAGCAGCATACTAAGCAGGCAAGTTTGTTGCAAATCGCGGCCCGGCGTCGATCCATCAGTTTATTGATATAATATTTTTTTTAAGAAAAAATTACCAATTTGATAATTTGGTTTATATATGCTAATGAACGAACGGGTAAAGCATTCAGAAGATACATTGTTGATTACCGCTGTAAAGTCTGCAGAAGCATAACTTCAAATTATAACATTACATGCAATTATTGTTACAAAATGAAAGTAATTGAAGTACTTCCCAACTCAACAGTTGTAGTAAATTGTTGGAATACAAATGTGCCAAAAGTATTTTCAGAAAATTTCGGGTGGGACTGTACCGATCTGTTCCGCCTCTCCCTCTCTCCATCACTGGGTACAACTTCAGAAACATGTTATATGCATGATGCTTTGAAAGCTAAGACCCCTCATTGTGCTTTAGCATTTAAATCAGCTGTTCATGCTTACATATTTTTAGAGTATGCAAAAATAAATAGTGTTCAGCTTGTACTTTTTGTAGCAAATGTGTCATAAATACAATCCACAAATGCGCTAGTTCTACTTTGTTATACGCAACATTTAAATGAGTGTTAGTGGCACAAGCTATTTCCTGAATTTTCTCTTCATCTGGCAACCTTGCATGGTATTATTCAATCGGTTGGGTTCTTCGGATATTCCAAGCACCAGATTAACACCGGTTATTCTCGCAGGGCGGTCATAAGTTAATAAAATTTTGTTTTAAGATTAGGAGTTAATAGTAAATAAAGTGGAAAATGAGTGCTTTGCGTTCACATTTTGGGAAATTGTAAATATATATTTTTATTACTGCTCATTTTGTGAATTGTGTCGACGTGAATGAAGCTATGAACGGTGTCGAGTGAAACGTGTGCATAGCGTGAAAAGAGCGTTTTGAAAGGAAGAGAAAAGTGGAAAACTGGCGTAGTCCTAGATGTACATTGCCTAAAATAAAATATACTAATTACAACAGCACACAGTTTTTTATAACTTTCAATATAAGTTAAAAGTTACTTATTTCCAAAAAACAAAAAAAAAATAAAATAAAGCAAGAAAAATATTAGGTGTGAATTTTGAGAGCGAGCGAACGAACAAGCAGCGTGCGAAAGCGTTAAGAGAGAAGGTGACAAAATATGATTGTGTGTATTGTGTGTATAGCAAAAGAAAAATATTTTATATATACATACAACGTTCAAGATTGATTCTACTGGGTTGAGTGGTGTTAAATTTATTACATTAGTATCTATATATACTTATATGTATATAGCATATATTTTTTTCTTTTCTCTTATGATAAAGGCTAATTTTGGTTTCATTCTACACAGCAAATTCTTATATTTAATAATGAGTTTCCAAAATTCAATTTATAATTATCAAATACTTTATTGATTAGTCAATATTCACATTTATGTAAGAAAAGAATTTACTGTACATAAAGCAAGTGCAAATAATTTCATTTCGATAAAATATATAAGCGAATTCCAAACGAGTCGTTGATTGGAATGATTCTTAAAAATACACACCTCTTTGGATATATGTATATTTTTATACCACTTTTATATAAAAAAACATATATATTTTTTTTTTTATCTTTTTATTGCATTTTTATAATATTTCACCTCAAAATATGAAAGTACTTTTTGAATGCAATTTTCACTGTTGTTTATTATATCAATTCTAGTTAATGTAATTTTTAATTTAATAAAACACTTGCAGAGGAGAATGGTATGAAATTGACGTAAATTTATGTTTCAAGTAAAACCACCCAAATATAATAATTTGTAATTTGAGACAAATATTTAAAGTTACTACATATAATATTTTATTTACAATTTTTCTTTATTTTGTTGAAAATCAAATACCAACTACTCTCCTATATATATTTATACAATTTTTTTTTTTTGACAACAGTAAAACTTATGGATTTTGTACAAGTAGCCGAAGAGGAGGGTGAGGAACCCATAGAGCTTCCAGCAGAGGAGGATGGAACGTTACTTCTATCCACCTTGCAAGCTCAATTTCCTGGTTCATGTGGTCTAAAGTATCGAAATGAAGATACGAAGGCTGTGCGTGGCGTGCGTTCTAATGAGGGCCGTTTATATCCGCCTTCTTCTGAAGACGGTTGGGGTTCAAGCGTATTTTTCTGTGTTTTTCCCAAAGGTATGAAAGAATAATCGCATATTATTTTTTGATATACTTTTCCAAATATAATTTGAATATGATTTTGCATTTAATTTATATTTATGTTTACAGAAAACAAACGCAAAAGTGATGACAACTTGGAAAATTCCACAGCCAAAACCAAACGTATTGAAACTCGTTTACGTTGCACTGATTTAATTGTTTTGGGTTTACCTTGGAAAACAACGGAGGATAGTTTGCGCGAGTATTTTGAAAGTTATGGTGAAGTGTTGATGGCACAAGTGAAAAAAGATATGAAATCTGGTCAATCGAAAGGTTTTGGTTTTGTACGCTTTGGTTCGTACGAAGCTCAGATGCGTGTACTATCGTCCAGGCATTTGATTGATGGACGTTGGTGTGAAGTAAAAGTACCAAATTCTAAAGTAAGTAAATACCGTCGAGTAATACCCAAACACGAAAAATGAACTAAATTATATGCCTTTTATTCCATAGGGTATGATGCATCAAGTGCCATGTAAAGTATTTGTTGGTAGATGTACCGAAGACCTTACCGCCGATGACTTGCGAGATTACTTTTCAAAATTCGGAGAAGTAACCGATGTTTTCATACCGAAACCTTTTCGTGCATTCAGTTTCGTAACCTTTTTGGATCCCGAAGTTGCGCAGTCCTTGTGTGGTGAAGACCACATTATTAAAGGTAACGTCTAGGAATTTTGAACATATTTATTATTGTATATAATTAGCTATATCCATACTACTTTCATAATTAAAATCTGTATCTGTATATATTACAATTAATATATATATTTGTATATTTGCCATAGGTGTGTCGGTGCATGTTTCAAATGCAGCCCCAAAGTCGGAACAAAATCGTAATTCTGGTCATAACCAACAAAATTACTCGTACAATTCGCAAAGTAGCATCGGCAGCGGCCTACACATGTTACATCATCAAGGCCTTAGCGCAAGTGGCAGCACTAGTGGAGGCAGCGGCGGCGGCGGCGGCGGTGGTGGTAGTAATAATAGCTCTGGACGCAACGGCCATCAACGTTCTAGCAATTCGAATAATATGCTGAGTGATGGACCTATGTCGGGCAGTTCTAATAACGGTTCATATGGCATGAACGGTAATGGTTACGGCGGCAATAACAATGGTTTTAATAGTGGCAGCAGTTTGGGCGGCAGCAGTAGCGGATTGATGGGAAATACTGGCAACCGGCCCGACGGATCAATCACTCCATATAATCGTGGCAATGGAGGTAATTATATGAATAGTCGTTCAATGGGTCCTCAGCATAGTAGCAGTGGAAATATGGGTTGGAATAATCAAACAAATCGTGGGCATCTCGATATGCCCAATTTACAAGCGTTAGGCATAAATCCACAAGGGCCAAATCCACCAAATCAAGGTCAAAATATGAATAACCCATTGGGGGTCGGCCTCAATTTGAACTCATTACCAATGAATCCTGCTATCGTGGCTGCTGCCTTGAATCAATGGAGTCTACTCGGCAATCAATTGCAGAATCAATCGCAAGATCAACAGGTAAACATTGAGATACGTGATTGTGAAACTCACAATTTAAATAAATATAAGGTATCAAATCAGGGTGGAAATTTTTTGTCTTGGATGGCCCAAGCTAGTAACTCCGGAAATGGTGGAGGTTTAAATGCCAGTGGCAAAGGCAACAACTCAAATAATCCTAGTTCTAATGGAAGTACAGGCATGGGCTCAGGATCCTGTAATGATACACAACAGGTCCTAAAACAACTATATACACACATTTCACTCATCTAAAATATTTTTTTTCTCTTTTTAGAATGGCAGTACTAATTCAAGCAGTCAAGGTTGGTCTCGTCAAAACTCTGGAGGTGTATCGCAAGGCTCGGCTGATGTTAAACCGAAATTCATTTAAATTAAATTAAAGCAAACAAAACAAAACTAAACAAAAATTATGTGAGAGCTACCTACTACGTGTGTGTATGATGATAATTTTGACGCGATTTTTAAATTTTGACCGGTATTTCATTAAACATAAATAAATATGTAATCGTAAAATGGTTAAAATCATGCTTAACAGTAACAGTATATTGATCTGAATAAAGTTTTAACCTCTATTGTAGTGCAAAACATGGAGTTTTTTATTTTTTGTATATGGTTGAGCTACCTGAACTGGTGTTGTCTTGCAGTGGAAAATTGCTTGAGGATTTAGTTTTTCTGTAGAATAATATATAGTTTTGTAAAATGCTGCCGGGTTGATAGTTCTTGACCGTTGCGAACACTAAGGATTTACTATTATAAATTTGAGAGAATTTTATTGAAGTAGGACTTTCTTTCTATATAAAAATAACTCTGGAACTCTGGGTGCATTTATTTTGTTAGGTGACGAGCTGAATCGTTTTTGATCTGGAATTTTTCACACGTCCTTTTCTCGCCTCATTTGTCGAAACCGCCGATATCGGACCACTATAGCATATTTGAAGCTGCCATACAAGCTGAACAATCAAAATCAAGTTTTTGTATGGAAACTTGCTTTTGGAACGGGTATTATAGCTGCTGTGCAACCAAAGCCAACATTTTTCTTACTTTACTTCATATTTTCAAAGTTAGAGATGTGTGTAAAGTAATCTCTTAAATTAATTTCAATTACATTCTTTTTTCTAAAAATAATAGTAAAAAAGAAAATTTCATTTATATATAGTGTATATTGATTGATTTTATTGCAGCAGATAATTTTAACAATATTTTTTTTTGTTGATAAAAAATTGCAATACAAAAATACAGCACTCGATATAATACATATATATAATTGCTTAACTTTGTTACTAAGATTTCAAACAAAAACAAGAACAAACATATTTATCTATGCAAACGCTTGTCTTTAAAATACGACTGCATTAGTTTCTGTCTTTAGAGAATAACATTTTGTTACGTATTGGCTGAGGTATTTTCTGTTTTGCAGTTACAGCGAAAGTTCGCTAATAAAAATGAGTATGAAAAAATATACTTCTGACAATAAGGCAATCATAACGTTTTTTCACACAGTTTACTAGGAAAGTGCAACATATAAAATTAATTGTACAATGCAAATATTATTTACAAGAAAAAATCCACAATTTATGTATTTTCCACATGGTGTGTGATTGTATTCAAGTTATATTTGAAAGGTTGTAATATTTGGTATATTCGGATTAGTGAATGCGATAAGTTAAATTTAAGCAATTTTTTTTTATTAATATATTTTTGTTCATATGGTTTTTTGGTTTAGACCAATTTACGTAAAAGAATTCAAAACTTTTTACACACTGTTAGAGAGAGAGAGAGTATGTATATGGCGAACGAGATATAGAGAGAGCAATAACTTCGTGTATGTGAAATTTGGGAAGCATTAGCAAAGATACTGTAGCCATTTACAGTTAGCATAGTATAGATTCGACAAATGAGAGTTAACATTAATCATTAATAGAAATGGGTTTAAATGTACATATGTTTTGTTGTAGATATTGGATAAGTTTTTTGTATGTGTGAGTGTGTGTAGTTGAATTCGAATTATGAGATTCATCGGCTATAATAATGTATAATAATTAATTGTGAAATATATTTTATGAATATATAGTTTTTTCAATCCATTCGTCCATGCTGAATGTAGCCACATCTTTGTTTTCGGTGTCCCGCTGCTTGAATATATCTATAAGAAACCAAAAAATATTGTTTACATACAGCATATTTATTTGTCAATTAAACCATGCACACATACCAATATATGTTCTAATTTTGACTGCACACATAAGGAAATCATCGAATGAAATTTTGCCATCGCGCGAACCATAACGATGTGCCAACGCATTTAGTATACGATTATTGAGATGATAGCCGGCGGAGTTGAGCGCATCACGCAATTTAAAGCCATCAATGCGTCCGGTTTGTTCGGGATCATAAAGCTTAAATACCGCTTTCCATTTTGCTATGTCGGTGAGTAGTGCTTCGAACTCCTCGAAACCCAATTTACCCGACTGATCGACATCCATCATGGCAACCATGGAGCGGCAGACATCTTTCGAGAAACCGTTACTACTCTCCTCCATGATGACTACAACAAAAGAGATGGTGGTAATTCAAAATATTATTTAAAATATACATATATATTGCATTTAATTTGTTGCGCACCTGGTGGCAACCCCATATAACCTCCAGCCTTGGTTTGATTCGTATTTGGCGGATTTTGCTCGTTGCCCTCTGAAAAGATGCTCTCAAATGGTGTACCCTTGCAAAATGGGCCGCAAATAAGCGCTAAAATATTTAGACCACCGCCCTCAGCCGGAGCGCCACCGCCAATGTCAGCGTTTTGCACATTATAATTGTATGGAGTATAACTTGTACTCTTTGGCAAATCTGTTTGGTGTCGGGCATAAAAATTTGTGATGCAGAAATTTAAAAATTATTTTTAAAAATATATATATTTAATACAAAATTTTGCACTTCTCAGCCACCTACCATCTTTCATTGAATGATCCAATATCCGTTTCAATTCCATCCAATCCACTTCCATGTCTGGACCGGCAATACTTTTGAAAAGTTTCAAAAGGCTTTCATTATGTCCATCGTTCGGTCTGGGGTCCATTGGGTTTGGAAGATTTGGCAACACCTGCACAGTAACAGCAAAGTTTTAGCAATATTTCAAAACGATTTTACGAGCAAATATATTTACAAGAGGACATATATACTATTATAATTTTGTGCAACATATTGCAGCATTTTAAAAATATATAGTTATATACATATATGTTTATACAAATTCGAATACAAAATAATATTGATAAACAGCTAAGTAGCCTTTTATAGACTGTCTACATAATTTTGCTAATTTCTTTTATTGTTTACTTCTTTTATGAAAAGGGCCTAGTGCTTGAGACTTTTAAAAAATAAAAATAAAATATTTTAAATTATGTGACTACTTTAAAATGAAGTCAATAGATAGGCAATGGATTCGATATAGATGCTTTCTTTAAAGGTTTTTTATAGCCTAGGTTGACAACTGTAGTTTCCGATTAAACATTAATTTATATTTACCTCAATGCCACCTTAACTTTTTAGTCACAACTATCATGAACTACACCAACTCATCAACAGTAACCATTTTATCAACCACTTTCCGTTTATAAACACCATATTCATTAAATTTGAAATTTGCAAAAAAATTTTATTAATAAAAAGTAAATAAAATATAAAATATACATATGTGCACATATACCATTATTCATTGTACATGGGTAAACCGTCAATTTGAAATATATGCAATTATTATGTAAGTAAGTTTTGTGACAAAACTTGCTTAAAGAAATGTAATGTTGAAATGTATTTTGAAATTGTGCACTGAAATATAAATATGTACGAGTATATAATGGACAAATGTGCAGAAAAAACTACAAATGGACTTATGGAGACTATGAGCTCGCATGAGCAATGAATTTTTGTTGTGAAATTAAATTAAATTTTTTTTTATTTTTTATCAGACCAAGGCAAATGAGTGAGTTTACTAAAACGTTTAAATGTGATTACATAATTACTACACACTAGCTAAACCCTGCGTAAAATCATTTTTGTAAGTATTTTGTAAATGTAAGTAAATGCATATATGAGTATGTATGTATGTTACGCAGTTATATACAAGCATGCAGCATATAAATAAATTAATATTGTTACACCTTGATACTAACCTTATCATCATTCGGGCTTCCATATCCAACATGGTCGTCATTCTCTCTGGTGTATTAGTAGTATTGGAAGAATCAAAAGGGTAAGAGAAGAAAAAAGTTTGGTAAAAGAGTGTAGAACAAATGACAAACCCACAAAGGATTGTTAAGCACATCCATTCTGAATTATGTGGGTCTGTTGCACACACATAAAATACATGGAATGTGTAATTAAGTACAGTGAAAGTGCACTTTAGCGGACTGAGTGGCAGGACTACACCTTATGCACAACAGGTGGATGTTCTTTAGACTAGCACTTACATATATTAAATGTATTTATTCGAAAATGTTTGCATAATTCGTAAAATAATAAGTTGATATTAATAAAAATAAACGGCTATATGCTATAAAGGTCAGATCAAAATAAAACGACGAAATATTGTATGGTTGGCTTGGAAAATAATCTATACCAAATTATGTGATGATATCTTGCCAATAAAAAAAGTTTTCTATACAAAAATTATATTTTATTCAAGCAGCAGCTTCTTGGTTTGACGATCGACGGTAGCGACAAATGAGCAGCTTTTTCGAAGAAAAGTACGTGTGCAATTTCAGAAGGATATCTCAAAAACTGAGAGACTTGTGTATATTAAGACGAACAGACAGACAGACGTACGGACAGCTGCACATGGCTAAATGGACTCAGCGCGTTACGCTAATTATTTATATAAATTTTTTATAGGATCTCCGAGTTTTCTTCTAGGAAGTTTACTATACTCTGTTTAAAATATATTAAAATTAAAAAGTTAAAATTATAAAAATTAATATTTCTAGTAGATTAAATTAAATTTTCTGCTATTTTAATAAAATTCGAAAGATATAGGTATACACACAAAAAAATATTTGTGTTTGATATAGCACTATTTCACTGTACTTATGATTTTTCACGTAACATTAGGCGTAATTTTGTTGATTTGTAAGAAATAATAATATTTATATACATACTCCATGTTATTCTGAGTTTCCGAGAAAACACGAATAACGAATTCACCTTCCTCATTCGGATCAAAAGTTGACGGTACAATTAGGTAATGACCTGGCGGAAGTTTAAAACGCGCACACACCTAAAAATATAGATTAAAATTTTTAATTTTTACAACTTCTACGACTTCATACTTACTTATATGGTATACTGTAAGTGAAATCGTACTCACCTCACGCGTATTAATAAAATGCGGTGAACGTCCAACGGATGCACGATATTTAAAGAAATTCACACCTTGTGGTCGGGTATGTAAGTCATCTTCGGTTAGATGATAAATAGCGAAACCGATTGTCAAACATTCCATACCCATATTACGCTTTGAACGACGATTCTTTTGCATCAGCGCCACAATAACCGTACACTTGCCATCATCATCATCATCATCCGGATCGGCTAGTGTTATTACGTACTGTGGATTATGCCAGAAGGTGTCTAAAAAGTTACGACAACCACCAGCTGTTGCACCTTGCGTCCATTCACCTTCAAACATAGACATTTCCCAACGGCGTTTACCACTATTTTGTTGCTCTTCGGTAAGAGAATCAGGTGATAAATTACAGATTTCGACACGATCGAAATGATTGAGGAAATCTTGAAATGACATCCAAAATTCACCATCACGATCAAATGTTAAGCCGATTTCTTGTTTCTGATCTTCGGGTATATAACGCCATTCGGGTGAACTATCACTCCACGGACCATTCCATTCGGCCTCATTACCCCAGGGATTACGCATACGTATCATTGGTATTTTACCTTGCCGATTGGGTACAGCAATATCGAGTAAACAAACTTTGGTTATAGAGTAGGCGTGGCCCCGTATCAGCCCTTGTGGCGTCTCAGCCTCCAAAACATTCGGATCGGGTTCTATAGAGCAACCCATTAAGGAGTTACGATCGACAGCTTTATGTAAAATGTTGAATAGATTTGGTGGTGCCTCTTTTAAGTCGTACCATTCCGTTACACCGCCGGTAAAATCTTCCATACCCTCACAAGTGGTGCCGCCCTTTAGTGCTTCATATGAGCCATTTAATCTGTAGGTTTGGAGAGAAATATTATTTCAATAAAAAAAAAACGGAGCTCATTTAACGCACTTGGCATAAGCTTTCTCCAGCAGTGCACTCCAAAATTCGTTCTTCTCAGTGGAATGCATATACATTAATTCGCCGCGATATGTCGGCAGACGATCGTCGACCACCACATCGATCCATTTACCATACTGCCAAAAACAGAAATGAAAAATACCAGCGTAGCTCTCCTCGAAGCTTTGATCTGGCGGCACAACACGAAAGAATAGATTTGGATCTTGCGTTAGATTGGCTGTGGCGGCGAGCAACCAACAGTCGCCCAATTCGCCTTGCTGTACATCGAAACGCGAATAGCCTTCCACGAAGAATTGTGGGTCATCAGTGATCTCCTGCATTTTTTTTTATAATTGCTTTTATAGTATACACATATTTTTCTCATGACTATACTTACATGTGGTCGCAGCCATTCGATGTGTCGATCGGGTCGTTGTGAAAACATAAGAGACTCATTGTTGGCTGGAAACAGTGGATCCTCAAATAAGGAGCCATTTGCAAGGCACATGCTTCGGATGGACTCAAAATCTTGGATGTCTGCTTGTACTCGTGTACCACTGCCCTTTTCGCCAAGCTAAGGAATATTTGTGAAATAATTTTGCATAAATTACAAACAATTAAACGTTGCTAAATATGGTGTTTTGTGTGCGTTCAAAGCAAAAAAGGCACAACTAAAAAATATTCAAAAAATAGTGTTCCATTTTATGATATAAAATACGTTTTAAAAACGTGTTAAATGTCGATTTTCTATGATCGAAAGGCGCTTTTTGAAGAGCCTTAGAACTGTAATTCAACCCAACACCAAGAGTCAAACTCAAAGAAATGTTTCTTTCATGAAAAATAAACTGCTCAAGCGAGCTCCATCAGCCTTTCAGAGGCGGCTTAAAACCTACAGTATTTAAATGAATATTTTGTTATAGATGGTTTTACAGAAAGATTAGTTCCTAATATAGTTTGCAGACACACCCACTCGACGCTGCCGAAAATACTCGAGGTAGACAGGATTTACCATCTGATCAATTTTGACACGGACTCGTCCATTTAAACTGCTTGAAATTTTATGTTTCCAATGGAATCATAGCTACGGAATTGTTAAAAATGTTGCAGAAGTGTTTTGGGGAGTCTACTTAATCACGAACACAAGTATTTGAGTGGCAGAAAGCATTTATTGGAGGTCGTGAAAACGTAGAAAACTTGCCAGAGGTGAGTCGTCCATACACCTCTGTTAATGACGATAACATCGAAAAAGTTAAAGAAGCAGATCTTCAAAATCGTCGTGTTGGAGATAATAACATCTCTTATGAAATGACCTAACACATTTTGGTTAATGTTTTGGGTATGAAGCCTGTCAACCCTAAACCTGAATCATTTGCAGAAACAACGACGAGTAGAGCCCGCAAAATAGGTGCTTGACAACATAACTGTAGGCACTGAAGGCAATCCCAGCCGAGGTTTACAATAAATTATGGAAAATTGGATTAAACGTAGACATGCTTGTGGATGTTAGATTAAACGTTTCGCCTTCAAAATAGAATCTATAGCCAAACGTGAGATCTGTATTAAATCAGGAGAAAATGTAGTTTTTTTGTCAGTCCGAGTCAATTTTGATCAGTTGGTATATCCATTAAGTACCATACTCTCAAACTATTGGTAAAATATTTCTTCTATCTGATTTTAACACTGTTTTTGTTTCTAAAATATTCAAAATCAGACTTTAAAATGTAACTGTGCCAAGCATATCCGGATTCATCACCAACGTTAATAATTTACAAAACATTTTTACAAGATTTCAGACAATTCGTACTTTGTAAATCAGCTGTCCATCGAAGGTATGCTTTCGCACTAGCACAGGTGGTTTCTTAACGGCTTCACTCAATTGCTTTTCACATTTCACATCACACTTATCAAGCTGCTCACTCTTACTATCCACACTATCCGCATCAATCAGCGCCAAATTGTTGTAAAGTGCCTCGATACTTAAACTGGCATTCAAGCAGGCAGTTCTACGCAATTTCGCCGCGTTTTCGGCATTTCTTATATCCGCCTTGATGCAAATGTCGCGCTCTACTTCAAATACATAAGAATCTGCGGCTAAGGTGGATGTGCGACTATAGTCACTTTCTTTCGTCAGCATTTTTAGACTTTCGAAACAATTTCGAATAGACGGATTCTACGTGTAAGAATACAGGCAGTTTTGGTCAAAATCCACTTTTTAATATTCGCGATTTTGACGACTTATCACACGCTTTTGCATGCCTACTTGAGGAATACACATGCTTGAATGACTGCCATGTGGCTACAAGAAACGCTCTCGAGGTCCTGTTTGCTGTTTTCAATGGACAATGGCCTGTGTCTAGACGTGAAATGCGCATCGTATTCATTTAAATAATATCATGGATATTAAGGAGTGCTACGCAGCTCAGTTTATACCACGCTAGCTGTGTGTGTATGCTGTTGGGAATGAAATGGCGCGCCGATGTAGGGATAATTTCATGTTTTTAACACAAATATGTCACGAATAACATTAGTTAACGCATGATTGTTGTCTAAATAAGGCTGAAAGTCGCGCTGTTGGGAGAAAATTCGTATATACCTGTGGTGGCGAGCTACGGCTTTAATATTGTGGTGATTTTGAACTAAATTTTATGCTAACATTGGCTAATTTTTAGTATGAGGGCACTTCGGGTTTTGTTTAATTTCTCGCATGCGTGAATGGGAGTGCGTACTCACATATCCCTTGTATATGTGGGGAAAGTTGTGCCTTTTAACTTACAATCACTTGCAGCCACTCCTTAAACTTAAAACTTTAACGGTATGCGCTAATATAGGCTCAAATATGTGCGTATGTGCATGTGTGAGTGTCGCAAGCCAGTGGCGTAGTCCTTGAAGTTTGACCTACAAAGCAATTTCTTTGTAGTTGGAATGACTGTGAAACTTATTTGGGTTTTCTGAAAATAATCGTTAATCGTTTTACAAAGAATTTAGTTCAACGATTGTAAATGGGTCCCAAGGACCCTATATTTTTCGACGGTCTTGGATATTGCCAGATACACACAATACATAGGCGCAATAGTCGCATTAGATATTATTTCAAAAAGAGTTGATGCTAACTAATAATCGGCCGTTTTAATACTATGTACCATCAGATCAAATTTGACTCGGATTGAGCAATATAACCTGCGCGCGCAAGCCGAATCAATAATAATTTTTATCCTAGATTGGTACTACCTTTTTATGTTCGTGTGAAGTTTGATCTCCATATATCAATTAAATTGTGTTGGGCAGCTGGTTGTTTACGACGCGAAAGGTTTTTCTGGCGATTTTTACCATGGAAAAAAAAATTGACGAGTTTTTTTGTGTTTTCAATGGAATCACAGCTACAGAATCGTTAAAAATGTTACAGAAGAAGAAGATATTAATCACAAACACAAGGCATTCAGTGAATGTCGTGAAGTGATCAAAAACTTGCCTCATGCGAATTATACAGTTACCTCTGTTAATGACGATAACATCGAAAGAGTTAAAGAAATCTCTCTAAAGATCTCAACATCTTTTCTAGATCGACTCAAAATATTTTGGTTAATGTTTTGAAGACAATAATAAAGATTTGTATAAAAATATGTGAAAATGTAAGTTTTTTGTCAGTCCGGGTCAAATTTGATCACAGGGTATTATTCTTTGATTTGCGCATGTCGGTCCGCTGGTTTGGTTCAGATTAAAAATTTACACATGTTATTACAACCGTTAAATTAGTTAAGAAGAGAAGAGATTTGATTTTCATTTCATTTCTTAAGATTTTGCATCAAACTACCAAAAAAATTGTATGAAAATCAATTGCATAACTATACAAAAATACTGTCGTTTTACTAAATGTGGCTCTTCACTAGCGCAACACATTGCTCTAAGAATTTTTCACTTTACAGTTATGTGGCTATTGTATAAAAGTATAATTTATTGTAGAATAAACTAATGTAACTGTAATTGAAAAGTCTCTTCGGTTATAATGCACCTCATTGGCAATTATGCAAATAGGCATAAAAGGTGCGCTTAAGGGGGGTGTCGTTGATTTTTCTATGTCGACCATTGAGAGGTTATGATATTTGCGAAGTATTGCAAAACACATTTAATTTTTTTCTTGTACAATGGGGACCTTATGTCTATTGATTACAAGTTTTAATAACATAAAATACAGGGTCCCCAAACAAATTATACCTCTTTCATTAAAGTAATTAAATAAATGAAATAACATGAGCACGGTAATTAATTTGACATTGTCAGCGAAATTATAGTGAATAAATTTGATAATGATTCATAGCTATGATACAATTATTATCGCATTCATATTCATAGAAAAAATTAAATGGAATATAAAGTAAATTTTCAACTATCTGTGCTATCTCGAGTTTCGTTTTCCAACGGAAAGTTTTAAATAAACAGAAATTTCATTAATTATTTATAAAATATTAATAATTAAGAGAAAAAACTGCAACTTGAGTGTATTAAAAAAATGTTCAATGCTTTGGTGATTAATTGAATAAAAAGTGTGCGGAACTTACATTTGATGTCTAAGTATGCAATAACGATTTCAAAGAAGCCGCATAAAGAATAGCAAAAGCAATTATTTATTTGTAATTACAATTTCTGTATAAATATACATACATACATAGCTAAACATATAGAAGTAAAGCAAAATATTGACTTTAGGTAAGAACGTCAACTATTCAAGTGTAAAACAAAAAATATATAACATAAACGGAAATATCTACATATGTATGAGCATCTAATTGGGCACTTTTGGCTCTTTTTCTTACTGATACAAATCTCTCACCAAATAAGTTGAATGTGCACAAGATTTATTATCGGTCTTGAGCAGAAAATTTTATTATAGCAATTTAACAAAAGAAACTTTTCAAAAATTTAGAAATTTAGTTTAACCAAATCTATTTTTATCTTAAAAAAAAATATAAATTCGCTATATCATTGGTGGTATATTTTTGATATATGATATAAAATTTATTCTGCTTTGAAAATATGTAAATGGAGCGTATATTTACGTTTATAATTAATTTTTTAATTGTTTTAAACTCTTATTACCTCAAAAAGGTTTCTATAAAAAAATATACATACCTATAAGTACATACATATGTACGAATATATATATACATTCATAACTTATTAATTAAGAGGTATAATGTAGGAATGTTATCATTATTTCTAAACATTTGAGTATGTAAATATTTAAGTTATGCTCTTTCTCCCCAAGGCCGATGTGGAACAGATAAAATTTTGTTTTGTAAAAAAAATGCAAGGAAATTCTTAAAGTAATACTCACCACGCGCATATTTTTAATGCTCGGAAGAACACGTTTGGTATCAGCCTCTTTTTTAATAAATATTTCATTAATGACCGAGCCGACAACTTCTTTTGCCGCACCCACTGCTGCATCTCCGGCCACATTCAGGAATTCTTTCCCAGCCTGCTTGAGAAAATTTGTCAATTCATCCATTTTGATATTAGGAGCTGTAGAAATAGACGAATTGCGAATATATAGGAGTCGTGAAACATTTAGTTCTGATTTCAGCTAATAAAATTAATACAGAGTATTAAACTAGCTATTTATTACAAGCATTAACTATGCGGGAAAATATATGACTAATCTCGCAATGTTTGCTTTAAGCATTAGCTCAAAAGAACTTATAACACTTGTTGTTATTGTCTATGAATCAAGAGCTAATCTTAAAAATTAATGTGGAGTCTTTGAAAGAAGTAGTGACTTATCCTACACATGCGTATGTATCTATATAGATATGTGTATATATATTAATTTACTTGTGGTATATCAATTACGGCAAAATAAATGGATTATCTACCATACATATTATTGACAACTTTGCATAGAATAAATTGTTTTATTCACTATTTAAACTATTAGAGGAAGTCAGCCATATTGAATATTTTGTTCCAATTTCATAGCGTAGTATTGAAAAGGAATTATAAATTTTTTACACTTGTTTTCTATTTGCCCTTGTATCATTTATTCCACTTTTAATTAGCAAATCCAAAAACGCATCGCACTGAATCTATAAATAATCGAAATGCTGAAATATCGAATACCTTAAGCAACAATTTAATAGCGTAAACTTTTTGTTGGATATCACTATATTAAAACGTAGTTTTTCTGCAATTTATAACTGGTATACCTGTCTAAGCACGCTTTAAGAATATTATTGAATTAATTAATAACGAATTAAGCTTTATATTTTATGACATCATCAACTGGATTGTTCTAATAAAGGTCCCACAGGAAGGATATGGATGCGATATTTCTACCGGTCTAGTAAACACCTATTCAACACTTATCTTTTTACACCCACCTGTATTTTTAATTTATTTGTGTACACTTTTATTTATTTTCTTGTTAAACACTAAACAATTGTATTTGCTTATCCAAAATTGATTCCATCTAGAGAAAGTCAGCTGTCCAACGTACATATGTACATTTATGTTTGTGTGTGTGAAAAGCGGTTCAATACATTCCGCGAGTTGCTTATACACTGAGAGATTATTATGTTTCTAAAGATTAAAAACACTTTTAAAAGTCTCCACAATAGCATACAATTTATAACTGTAAGGCAGCCACATATATTATTCATTAGTAATACTTTTATGTTTGCATTTTAATTATATTAATAAGTTAATGCCACTATTATTTGTTTGAAGAGTTAATATCATGTGAGTGACGCTGTCATGTTCCTGCAAGCAATTGTTGCAAAATACTTGGCAACTGAGCCAGAGAACTTAGAAAACTTCTCTGACTGAGCTGCCACCTCAATTTTTCAAAATACATTGAAGACATGCATTTAAAATTATAAGTTGGCAACGTTATCGCACTTCAATTAAAATTAACCCAGAAACTTTTTATGTCGTGCTAGAATTTTTTTACCATGATCGAAACTTTCTAAATATACACACGTATGCGTATAACTTCTGTTACCACACCATGCCATTTTCTGTTTAATTATAAGAATTTAAAGACATTACTATATATGGGAATCAAAAACGCTCTTAATATAACTCAGCCAGTCCAATTTAATGTAAAAATTGTATGTATGTATATGATATTTCTGTTTAAAATGTTATGAATATAGTTTAATATTAATTTATATTTAATTATAAGAAATCAAATATGTATATATATATATCTTACAAGAACAAATTTTAATTTAATATACATACATAAACCTACAACTGATTTGAAGTTATTCATTATTTTTAATTACATAATAATAGATTGTTAGATTTTTAAGGTGTAAATTGTCACTACTTTCTCTCCTATTTCCATGATTCTCAAAGAGGACTGGCGTCGGATTCGTCACGTTCGTGAATTGCAGTTATGCTCTGTTGTAAGGCATTTGGTGTTAGCCATTCTCTATAAACAAAAGCAATATACATATATACGTATAAATGTTAGCCTTTCTTAAATTTAATTTAAAAATAATGATAATAATAAATTGTATATATTACTTTGGCAAGCATCTTTGAAGAAATGGCACACAGGAGCTAAAATGAGCTAGGCGATTTACCCAGCTAGGGATTTCTTGGCCACAAAGAATCTATAAACAACACGTACACACTTCAATTAAAAATACAACTTTTTAAGTATTTAGTATATAAATATGCCAACCTGAGTAAGAGAGCTTGAAAAATGATTGCAATTGTTGTTCATTAAGTGATATCGATCGCCACGAAATTGATTACCCAATTCATCGACAATGCGTCGAATTTCTTCATATGTGAAATCAGTGCAGCCAATTTGTATACTTTGTCTAAATTGAAACTGCTCACCCAATTCGTCGTGATCTCGAGGTGTTATTTCGAAAACACCTGTAAATGGAAAAGGATGCCCTCCATATGCGAACTCTGTGCCGAAAATTTCTACGCCGGAATGAAAAACTCCTAATCCTATCGATGTTGTATATTCATTTATCCAATACTGCAAAAAAAAATAATAATGCATTTTATACTCGTTTTTAAAATATAGTTAATATACACAATTACCATGTCATAGACATTTAAAATAACTGGTTCACGATTACTCATGTTTGTTGGTAGTAATTCGTCGCTCCCACTGTCTTTTGGTACGCCAAGGCAACTGGGAAATGACAAATTGCAAGGTAGGCCGTTCGAAAACATTATATATGTATATTAAAAACTCCGATGTTATAATAATATCAATATGGATGAAATAAAATATTCTTCAATTAAAAGTCCGATAACGTAACGAGGTTATATCTTGTGAGCAAAAGAATCAAGCATTTAACTATAAAACGCGCTTGGATCTTTTCGTTTGTTATGTTTGTATGTTTTTCGAGAGGGTACTACTATTTAGATAAAGCTTTTGTGGAGGAAGACTACGAAAATTATCAGATGGTGATGAGTCCTGTGAATAAACAATAGTGTATTTTAAAATTTATATGCCTTAATGTAAATGTTTTCTTTAATGAACATGCATTAATATAAATATAAATAGAAACTATGAAAAAATAATGTATGCTTAATAAATTTAAGAGCAGTATATTATTATTAACTATAGAAAGAAATGACACCTACTGAAACAAAGTAGAAGGGGCTATGTAACCGGAAAAGTTATAACTGAAAAACCATATACGGCCATAGACCGTTAGAACAAGAACTATTTCCAGAAACTATATGAGAAATGCTATATTATTATGTTACACCTCCAACAGATTTCACTAAGGTAGTCATTAATCACCTACCAAACAGTTTGTTTATACTACTGATAAGCAAACAAAAATTGAGCACATTGTATCGAAGGGTGTCATTTACTTTATATCCAGCTACTCACACACACACCTCCAAATGCTTACATGAATTTGTATGTATGTATGCACTGTGAAACATTTGTTCAGTAGATTCATATGCACTTCTTTGTACGTAATATTTAAAATCTCACTACATATTACGCATCATATATTTCAAAACGGGGCTAATTGTTGTAAATATGCATTTTAATTCTACAATTGTAGATACGTACCAATGAATGGTTGAGTTTCTTGAATACTTTGAGATCTTCTCGTAGGTATCCTAACGCATACAAACGGACGAAGGGAACTCGCCTGGATCATGTTTCTATCCGCGAACAAATGAATCTCCCACTATTAGCGTTTCAATATGACATTTAGAAAATTATTAGTTGACAGCAGATTCCAATAAAAATATCTGAATGCATCTGCCATCAAAAATTTTCCTCTGTAATAATTTTAGCGTCTTATACCAATGTTGATTTTCATCCAGGTACGAATGAGAAAATGGAACACATCTTTTTGACGCTTGGTTGCCAAACTATACAAAAAATATTCAGATAAATGGTGGCAAATGTTGCCAGGCTCAGAAACAGAACTTTAAAAATTATTAAATGAGTTTCAAATAAAATACTATTTCACCACTACTTTCAACACGCTCAGAGTTGAGTAAGTAAATAACGACACAAATTATTTTAGTATTCCTTTTAAACTATAAATTAAAAACAATAACTTTTGTTGGAGTTATTTTTATTTCTATATCCAACAATAAAATGGTTGCAATTATGTAGTTATTTAATCATGTCAATATTATCCGTTGCTTTAATCGATCGACTTCATTTTGCATAGATATGCGGTCGGAAGCAGTTTAATTTCATCATTGATCTGGCAGACACTGGTATCCTTGTCAGAAATAGATCGAACTTTACCCACCGACTCTCTCTCGTCACCATAGATAACTTTGAACTCGTCGCCAACTTCTGGTGGTACTGGTGCCAAATGTTCGCTTACGATCGACACACTGCGATCCTCTTGGCGCAAGAAAACAGAGCATACACCATTGGAAACGGTGCGAATTATGCCCGTTTGTCCAACTAAATCAGCATCGTCATGTGTATGTATTTTTACTTCAATATCGGTTGTACACCAGTCACCGATCGGAGAGTCTAGACTAGCGCCTGGAGTTTGTGGATTATATGGAGACTGTGGATTACCACCGGGCGTATTTGGCGAATATGTAGATGGGGATGGTGTATTCATGTAACCAACTGGATATGGGGATGGTGCTGGACTGGGACTCGGATTGAAAGGGCTGTAACTACGATCAGAACCGTATAAAGTGCCTGGAGTTTGTGGTGCAAATTGTGTATTCATTTGATAACCAGGTGTACCTTAAATATACATAAAATATAAAACGGTAAAAATGATATTTTATCTATAAATTTAAACTTGTAATAATTACTTGGATTGTAGCCAGGACTGGGGCTAGGTTCTTCCAGAGTGTAATCAAAATCATTCGTACGTGCCGGAGTATTGGCTATGCTTGGATCCCAAGCGCCATGTCGTGGCGTCATACTGCCGTCATGCGATGGTGTCATTGTACCACTGTAAGGCGTACGTCCTTCTGAATCCCAATTAGGAGTTTGATTACCAAGTAGTGGTGTCTTCGAGCCCACAGCTGCATAGACTGGTGTTTGTGAACCATATCCAGGAGTGCGAGCTGGAGTGCGGCCATAGGTCGATACACTACCGCCCTCTTTTCCGGGAACTCCAGCCATGGCAATATGATTGCGATCTACAGATATAGTTTGACAAGAAGTGTGTAACTCGACACGTACCGTACACTCGGTTGCGTCCTTAACAATGCCAACAACACCTGACAAAAAATATTTTACAAGTAAAACAAATGTATCGATTAAGTAATATAATAGTGATTCGTATACCTTTGTATGGCCCTCCAGTGATTTTAATTGTTTTACCCAACATTTCGCGATCACGCGTAACGCGGAAACCGCCACGGCCTCCTCTACCACCTGTACGAGCTCCACGACCACCAGAAGGATGCATAGGTGATTGTATACGTGGTGACATAAAACCGAAACCTCCAAGTGTGCCTGCATTATTTGCCTGACTTTTGCTGCCACCAGCCAATTGCAAATGTCGTGTTTTACAAACAAATATACCGCCGTTCTCCGTGTACATGCGGCAATGCAAGAAAGCCAAGCTGCGATAAAGATGCTTAATTTCACCAGAGCGACCCTAAATTATACGGGTATTAACAAATTGTAACGAAAATTTTATAGAATAATTTCTTACAGCATGCGGTCCCTCCATAACTTTAACAATGTCTCGCCGTTTTATCTGATTCTGATCTGCATCGAGAGCAATTGAATTACGATTTTCTCTGCGCTTGTGCAGAGCTGTCGGTTTGCATTCAATAACTTTGCCATGCATTCCTAAGACATGGAAATTTTCTCTTTCCAATCGTACGATAACACCTACATTTTGCGGACTGAAAATAAAGTAAATAATTTTAACTTATAGAAAATAAGAACTCATATAAGCTAAGTGAACTTACTCAAGTTGTACAAGATCGCCCCATTGAAACTGACCCAAGCAATCAACGCCTGTAGCCACGTCTGAACAAAGTTGCAAGTCACGAGGTAAAACCTCCAATTCGTGATTAGTCAAATCTGATACTAATACAATACGCATTGGTTCCACGCGTATAATTAAACCGGTTTCACCTTCGTACCGGCCAGCCAAAACTCTGGCGTGATCACCAGTTTTGAAGAATTTACGTAATTCGCCGGCTTTGAAAATTAATGGATCCTTTGAAAAAAAAATAATATATATATACATATATTTGTTTTGTATAATATTGGAATTTTTTTTGAAAAATTATTTGCAATTACCTTAAGATCTTGATGTTTTGGCATTACAGTTATCATGCCACCATCAATTGCAATAATCTTTGCTTGCAAATTTTCCAAGTCACCCACGCAAACCTCTACGTTATCGCCCATTGAAAATGAGTGCGTACTAGTTGGGTCATCCTTTGAACCGGCTACGATCTCCAAATTAACATCTAAAGTGAACATAATGATTTAATAAATCACGTTGTTGAACGTATGAAAATTGCTTACCTTCGGGTTGTTCTTCAAAACGTTCCAATTCTGCTAATGTTGGTTTCACACCATCAACCAAAATAGCAGACATTGTGAAATTTTTATACAAAAATCCTTTACGTGAATAACGATTGCCTTCAAAAAGCAAAAAGTCGCCATCTGAATGCACCTCACCGCCAATAGCCCTTAAAATTAAAAAAAAAAATTCTTAATTGTAAAATATTATCTATAAATATTAAAATATGTATTACCTGACAGCTTCTGGGTCGAAAGGTTTAGCGACAGGCTTGCGATTCTTTTTACGTTTGAAGTCATCAGATTCCTTTAAATTTGAAACATTTAAATAAATTCACATAACATATATGGCTAAATAGTAAATTATAAATTGCAAAATTATTATTACCGTTGCTGTAGTCCTTAAAGCTCCGCGCATCCGTGTATAATCAATTCTGGGCAGTAGTTTCAAATGCACTTGGTTTTGTGCCAAGTCAACATAATCAACTTGTGCTATATCATCTTTATATAAACCACGTTTGAGGCGTACCCATTGCTTAACTTTCAATCCCACCTGCTCTTTTACCACTTTTAAAACATCGGTCATTTCCTTGATGGGAACCATTTCCTGTTTCCATTGTCCCATGCGTAAGTTACCCACATTGTCAATAGCGGTTTTAACATGTGTTTGTTTATATGACTCTAAATAAATATAACCCTTTACACCTTCCGGAGCCACAACCGATTTTATTTGTAAGGGTTCATCCGTATTACAATATGTTAAAAACTTGCGCATTAGGAGCAAGGCAGTTGCTTTCTCTTCACCGATGCGACATTTGACCATCCATAGATTAGGATCTCTATAAATTATATGTTATTTAATAGAATGTTTATTTGTATTATTTAAAATACTTACTTAATTCCTGGGAGTAAAGTTTGTTGTGTAATTTCATCCGACATTTCCTCACCACCATCACCAAAATGCCTTTTAACAACAGATTCATCAGCATATTTTTTTCGTAAATATTCCTCGATTTCATCTTCTTTTTGAGTGCTGAAAATAGTTATTTTCATAAAAAATGTGTAAAAAATAAATAAAAATTTTGTTATGTACTTACTCCCATAGATTAGTGCCACGACGTCGTATTTCAATATCACGTGCAGTAGGACCTAATTCATCAATTTCATTGCCCACAATTCCTAGTTCATTAGCTCCTTCTTCCCATTCATCATCTTCATCGACCTACCATCAAGCAAATTTTGTATAAGTACTCACTGTTGATTGTACTTGCATTTAATAACCCAGTTAATATTTTACCTCGTCATCAACTTCCGCTTCGTCAATGATAAAGCCACCAAAACGTTCCTTCTTCTTCTTTTTACGTGGACGATCATCGTCTTCATCCTCTTCTTCGTCATATTCCGAATCCACTTCATCACCATCAAGATCCTCACCATCCTCAGGTTCTTCATCACCAGAACGACTTCTACTTTTACGTTGTCTATTGCGAGATGGACTCTCATCTTCTGAGCCCGATGCATCAGAACGCGAACGTGAACGCGATCGGGATCTAGAGGGCGATTTAGAGCGTGAACCTGAACGTGACCGATAAACCGAACGAGAACGCGATCGTGCACTACGCTGCGATTTGTTTGAACTCAAAGAGCCCTCGTCCGACCCACTATCGGATGCATTACTTGCCTCAGAATCCGACATTGCAATTTTTTAAAAATGTTAAAACTTCTTAAAAACTTGTAACACTTGCACAACTTGAACAACTCGCACAACTTGTAACATCCACCAAATTTTTTCAAGAATAAACACCAAACTACAAAATCAGATCTATTTAAGATTGATTTCCTTCTCAAATACAGTGTGACACAAATATAAATGAAAATAAGAAACATACGGAAACGAAACATTAAGCAGAGAGTGTCCGAAACTTTACTATGGAGGGAAAAAAGATAAACTTCACGAAAAACAATGAAGGAAATGTTAATAGAATAGAATATATAAAATGTATAATTTATGTAGAACTTCAAAGTAAGTTTAAAACAAAAATCAATTAAAGCAACAGTATAAGGGATTAAGATATATATAATCCAACAACCATAAAATCTATATCTAACCAGAGAATTTAAATGGATTCATTTCATACGACATTTCTGTTTTCTGTTATTCCATCTCATATCGTTTCAGAGAACAATTTATGTAGAGTCAGCACAGTATCAAGGATGTTGGGAGAAACGTATTTTTTCAGAGAACGTTGTTATAAATTCTCATTTCTGTTAAATAACCGCAAATACTACAGAAAATGGTGAACTCCTTGATCTCAATTTTTAAGCTATGTTAGCCGTCCAATCGAGTATCATACAAAATTCAATTTGCACCATCTCGTCCTTCTAAGTTCTCTGGTCTAACAGTTCCTCGTTTTGCAAAGAAGCAGAAAAGAAGACTATTAGGGTGTTTCAAGACATTTTAAAAACAACCGATTAAAAAATTGCAGATTGCTTAATGCCATAGTTTATATCTCTTCACGTATGCGCATGTTTATAAGCGACTTTTTCCCGATGGCAAAAGCTAAAAATCACATAGACAAAAGTAGCAACATAGTATCTGTGTAGATTTTAAACAATATTTTTAGTCGCTCCCTCTTCCAAAAACTACTACTTGCGACAATTTAATCTTCCACATCTGTACGCAGTCAAATGCTAATTTTTTCAATTCCATGCTCAATTTTACTGAACTCACTGTATTTATTTAAAAAAAAATTACTTCATTATTTCAGGTTAAAAGTTTAAAAACAAGGCAACAGCAACTCAAACATAATTTAAAAATATATATGTAGGTATTTTATATTCGTACATACCTAATCGACGCATTTTCAACTTATTTTATTTTTAAAACCGTATTTAAATAAAACCTAAATACAACCTTTACTTATTTTCCAGCCAATTATTACGAAAGGCAAATAGATCCAAAATAAGCTTGCCCACTACCGCATCAACATGAAAAGCGTTCCGTTTCTCATTGAATAAAGGCACGCAAATATTTTGTCTGGAGCAAATTTTTCTTGAAAAAAAAAACGTAAAATTAGATGTTAATAATAAGAACTATATTTATAATACTTACAGTAATTCATTCATAGATACTTTGTTTTTAAAGTACTCTTGTAATTTGAATATACCATATGTCTTTGCAGCAAGTGCCACCATGCAAAACTGATCAGGATTCTTGTTGTATAGAATTACAAATGTTAATCTGTCCCTCCTTAAGCAAGGCTCAATAACCTTTGCAACAGCATCGCGCATCCAGTCTTGTGGATACTTGCGAAATACCAACTCCGACTGGGAAATATAAACTGCGAAAAACTGTTTTTGCAAACATGCAAACTTAAGATCTCGCTTTCCACACTCTACAGTCTGACATTTATTCTTTAATTCAACACGCTTTGAAGTGCCTTCTCTATGCATAGACGTGTCACCATTCCAGCTTATAACAGCATTAAACGAAGTTATAAATTTGTTAGGCACCGCCTTAGGGCGCAATCCTATATTCAGTGGTTTTATAAAGCCACACGCCTGGTCTTCGAATGCAAATACTCTTTCCAACGTATCGAATAAACGGGAAACTGCAGCTAGAAATGAATTAGTACGTCGCCACTTGTCTATGCTACCACAATTTTGCAAAAAATTCATATATGCGCAGTAAAAGTATTGTCGGGTTTTTAGTAGAAGTTGAGCTGTTGCATGCTCCATTCTGATTTCGATCCAATCATCCACATAAAATACTGACATTGTTGCTTCTTTTTTATGGATAATGCTTCCAGTTCCAAGGTAGTTCCCTGCTACATTCAAGTGGCATACGTTTGATGAATCTATCTTGGGTGGACCTGAAATGCAGATGGTGTCAATAACTTTACTCATGTTTCAAGATGAAGTTGTTAATGATATTTTTTTTTAGATTCTGAGATCGAAATTCAAAAATAAAATTTAAGTCAGTTTTTCAGTGCCAGATTAAATCAAGCCCAAAATACTGCTCATTGCGTTTAAACAAAATCCAATACTCATACCTGCGAACATGGCAACTGTTAATGGTGATACCAAGGAACAACATCTGGTGCTATTACAGTTAATGCAATTTATATCGTTTCCGTAAACAATCCAGTTGGAAGGAAATGGTCGTGCTTTGGTGTTTAATGACCCGATAGTGAGCTCACCAAGTACTGAAGTTGGATGAATAACAAGTTCCTTAGGGCTATTACATTTAATCCGTCCTTCATAAGTGTCCACTATGCAGAGATGTGGATAGAGGCCGGCCACAAGTGTCGCTTTAATCATAGGCCAGCTATTTGATTTTAAATTTATGTAATGCATACTCAATTGCCCTTGATTATGTATAAGTTGTGATGATCGCAAGGCGCCTACTAAATGTGTACGAATATCGCAAACTTTTTCCAAAATTCCATTTAAAACATAATCATTCTCATCTATTAGTACCATTTCGGGATTATCATCACGCAAATTGTTTTGCCATTCTTGATATAAACGCAAATATATTAAATGATCCGAAAGTATATTCTCGGCTAATCGTTGGCGTTCAGCTTTAATTTTAGAACGTACCCGTTCGACTGCAGCAAGGCGCTTATTACCTGTCTCAGTAGGTAATTCGAGTGGATCAATTGTTGACAAAAAACTTACAATTGTCAGTACGGGATCTAAACATTGTAAAAGTATTGCGAAAACGAGCAGCTTTCCCAACTGGCAATCAATGGGTACATCAATTAGGCGACATCCCAACCATGTGACTTCTTCCAGTTCATCAAAAACGTATATTTTCTTCAGAAACTCAACAGTGTTATGGATGTGAATAAAAGGTGGTCTAGAAATGGTCGATTGCAAGTATTCGGAAACCATAGTATGTGGTGACAATAACTTTACAGTTAAACAAACACGATCCAACGGCATGGTTAGTAATTCTGCTGCATAAGTTTTCGGCAGTATGTCCACCAGGAAAGTAGGAATAAAACGAAAACATTTTACGTCTGCGCCTACATCATAATGAAATTTGACATATTTATATAAAATTTTTTTTACAATTGCACTAAGCATTTACCTATGCGACTTGTTAGACGTGCACGATTTTCAAGAGCTTCTGCCGCTATCCAATCATATGCAAGTTCTTTATATCCCGTATCGGGATTATATAACATTCTTCGTGTTCGAGCCAAATCAATAATATAGTTAATTGAAAATTTTGGAATGATACTTTCGACAATGTCTGTGGCAATTATAATATTTATACAATCGTTTGTTCCTTCTATGGCCTTATCTAACTGATCCTTCTCAATATTTTTATGCAGCATATATATTGCAACTTCTTGTGGTATATCCCCAATCATTTTACATCGTAATACCCAGTAGTTTACACGCAATAGTTGTTCGTAATCAGCTACTATAACAATTATATTACCTACAATTAATAAGAAAGGTTATTTTTATTTCCAATTAATGTAACTTATTATTTACCAGGCTCCCATTTTGAACTTGTCATCAAAACACTAATAAGATCAGTTACTAAACTGTAATCTAGATCCGTGGGATTCGCACGATTCATATTTGCAGAATTGGTTAGCACTTCTATACACATCATATTTCCTCCAGCCATCGCGTTGGATAAAGCATTAAGATTTTGCTTATCCATGATATAGGGATCAGCAAATTTGTCCAGTAACAATTTTATGTGTGCCACATTTCCAAGTTTAGCAGCTATAATTAATGCCGTTTTTCCCGATATAGTGTGCCTATAGTCTATAGAAATATTTTCGCTTCGAACCATATACAAAAATGTTTCTAAAGCTTGATCTGCACCAGTTTGCTCATAACTTTCAAGAACACGGTCCACATTGAAATAATTACCGTTAATCAACGGCGGCATATTGGTGTAGTTAGTATAATTTAACTGACTTCGTATATTTGTGTGACGATCTCTTTCTAATATTTTTTGTATATGCTCAATGTGAAAAACATTAGAGTTATGGGAATCCGTTATATTACAATCCAATTGTAATATTTCGCCTTCACCGAAATACTCCAAAAATTTTAAATTATACTGAGAATTCGAAAGGAGTATAATCTTGAGATGTGCGTGACAACGGAGAGCAGAACGCAATTCACTTAATAACAAATCTGTAAATGCTTCATGTCGATATACATCATTAACAATTATATGTGAAATGTGTCGGAAACTATCCACAATGCTTTGTCCCATTAGTACACGTAGTAAAAAACTTGAAGTTGTATAGATAAGATTTGAGCCTTCGCTAATTCGGCTTTGAAGATGAATTTGAAAGGCTACAGTATTGCCCACTTTCTCACCCAAGTAATCAGAAAGCTTTTCACTATTATGAATAGCTAATATCTGTTCTCTCTCAACGCAAATTATTTTGCAATGAGTTTGTCTTTCAGCACAATTTTCGATTATGTACATTGGCAATCCCGTTGATTTCTCAAAGATGTAGTCACCGTTTACTATCAATACTCTGCTACGATAAATGGTCTCAAGCAAACCAATTTTGTATGATTGCAAAGGACAATTGTCTTGAAAACATAGTTGTCCACGAACATTTTTACGAGCCATTGATTGCTTTAGGCCTAAGGAGAATCTGTGCGGAGGTATAGAAGGCCTTACGCAATTGGGGCTGAAGAACTCTGGCGACATTTGCATCTCGAGTTGACTGCCAATAAAATCACTTTCACGTTGCAATAGAAAAAGCTCCTTTTCAGAATGTGATGAAAGTCGCAACTCTGGTATATACTTCACGAAATGCAAGCAATTCTTTTTGAAAATTTTTATAAATTCTATTCCATTATTCACAAATGGACGACTGTTGTATCCAAGTTTATAAGCGTATTCAATGAAAGTTGTTCTTTCTGTAGAACGAAAAGATCCACTAAATTTTTGGCAACAACGATTACCATCTTTAAAATGCATTAACTGCTCTAAAATATATTGATTTACAATATTTTTAATCATAATGTAAAATATGCTCACTATATTAAAAATTCAAATTCCAAACGGAAAATAAATTCAACAATTTAATACAGTCAAGCTGTTGGTATTACCAGATTTCATCAAAATACCTAAACTGAGGCGAATTCATGCAAGACAACATGAAGCAGCTGATTTATGTTTGTCAATAGGCTTGACTATCAAAAATCGAAATTCATATATTTACATAAATCATATAACGCTACTAAAATTTTGATATTAGTATTGTCAAGAATTAAAAAAATATTAGAGTTATATAAATATACACATTTTATAAATGAATTTATTGAAATTATTTCGAATACAATATTCAATTTATTATTGTAAGTTTACATATTGGCATAATACCTATTGCTGTACACGTGCTCCTTGAAATAGTCAGTACCCTTTTCGTGATAATCCTCTTTAGTGCTCAAAGAATTTAGGAAATGGCTAGAATTTGCGAAATCTCTAGCACCTAGCCAAGCGTCAAGTTCTGGGGACTGGGCAGCACATATTTTAAAAGATGTTTTAAATGGACGCATTTCAAGAAGCTCTTTCGAAAGACGCTCTGTCAAACCTTAAGACAAGTGTATTTTAATATGTTCGAAAACGCAAAATTACAAATTTAAATACATACCTGCAAATTGTGAACATCCGCCTGTGAGTAAAATGTTATTCACTAATCGTTGCTGTTCAGCAGCTGGAAATAGTTTTAGTACAAAATCAATCAGCTCGGCTACACCCATTTCAGAGCATCCTATTAAACTTGGTTGAAAGAGTACCTCAGGAGCTCGAATTGACTCCACACTGAAATGTAACTAATATAAAATAAAAATTTATATATAAATAATAAAATACTATATATATACATATATTTAAAAATTTAAATAAAGTATCGAGTTAATTTTGGGCAATTTGAATTACCCTGTCGTGTTTTTTTTTCAGAAGAAATTAAATAGTTACAACCATAATAAACAAAATATATAACAAGACGTAACAATTGCACGTTTAGGAAATATGGCAAAAGTTTTACAACTTGCTTTTAGCGGATTACGTAGAGCTAACAAAAATTTTATTACTTCTGCTTCTCGTCAATACGCAAAAGCCGCTTATGAAGCTGATGGCAAAACTAAAGTCTCAATATTAAATACTGAGCAAGAGTACGGCCTTATGATAACCGGATTTAGTCAATACGGATTTCGCCTTAACAATGATATGGTAATAGTTGGACCAATGGCAATATTTCCACGGTAACAGGGAACATTAACAAATGTAATGAATGGCATAGATATTTATAAATTCTACAAATTTTCAGCTCTGTTCTTTCTTGGAATGTTAGCTCCTTTGAGGATATTAATGAAGACAGCTTGAGCTTTTTTTGCACTCTTGAACCTAAAATTGACATCCTTATTGTTGGTATTGGAGACCAGCCCGTTACGCAAAGTCTTTCCAAAGTTATCATTGAATTCATGAAAAAATACAAAATTAATGTTGAAATACTACGTACGGAACAGGTAAATTATGGCTTTTGAAAACATCTAATTTATGCTTTTTTTATATGTTTTCCATATACAGGCATGCGCAACATTTAACTTTTTGAATGCAGAAAGTCGTATGGTGGCATCAGCACTTATACCGCCAATACATATTAGCTATAACGAAAATGATATTTTGCAAAGTAAATTGCGTAGAAAAGAGATTTATAGCGAAACCGACTGAGATGGTAACATAAACATATGGTATTAATCTAGACTAGAAAGAATTGTTTGTTAAAGCTTGGAAGCATATAAGCTAAATCTTGTTACATAAGTGTACGCTATAATAAGAGTTAGTACGGCCACAACTATTTTTTTGTGTTAAACAAACAATTTGTTCAAGTATAAAAAATATTATTCAAATATAAAACTATTGCCAAATTAAAATTAACTTACTTGATAATTTTCAGCAACATCACAACTTTGTGTACTACTTTGCTTAAAAGAAGGATCATGCTGGCGAAGAATGTTTTCACATTCTAAGAGCTTCTCATTATCACTGTCACTGTCACTTTCATTATCCTTGTTTATAGATTTATAAACGTCCCAGTCATTATCGTTAACGCCAAAATTATCGATACCTTTATCGTTGTGAGCTAGCAAAGAAATAATTCGCATACGCTCTTGTGCTGCTGCAGTGTGTCGTTTCGCTGCTTCTTGCCTCTTCGATTTACGTGTTTCTTTTCGTTGTAAAATCTCATCGCGTTTATAATTAATATCCGAAAGCCACTTTTCCATAGAAACGTCTGATGGTGGTTTCTTAGTGCCAGATGTTTTTTCTTTTGGAGTTCGATTTGCTACTGAAGCGTCTTGTGTTGATGATTCCATTTGCTGGAGCCGACTACGCAGAGATGTTATAGATTTCTATAAATATAGAAGTTATGAAATTATTCTGGTTAATATTATTTTCACTCACTTCTAATGTAGCTAAGTTATCTATATTATTTTGTTTTAGGGCGGCTTCAAATTCTTCCACTTCTCCCAGCTCATAAAGTTCTCTAATACTAGTCATAAATCGTAGTTGGTTCTCCATGTCCAATTGCTTGTTTTTAGCTCGGCGTGCATTTATTTCAATGAGCCGACGAGTTAACTCTTTTCGTTTTTCAATCTTTTGATCAAGATTTTGTGGTGTATTCTGTGTACTAGGCAATACGAAAGCCAACTGAATTTTCTTAACATTTTCTGTATAATATTCTAGATCGGACCAACGTCTTAGCTCTTCCAAATAGTCCAAAGCTATACTACTGTGACAATGTAATAATTGCTCTATTTTACTTATCGTTATAGAATTTATATGCATGGGATATTTCATTTGCATTAGTCGATACAGATAATGAGTGATATGATATCCGCCTAAATTTAAACGACGTACGTTTTCTATTTGAATCTTCCCGTCAAGAACGGGTATTACATGCGTTGTGTGATAACCAAAGGATAATATCAATGAATCAGCACATGAATCATTACGCATCATGCTGAAAATTGAATCGATTCCATAACAAACCGACGGAACACCATAGCACTCAAAAACCAACTCATTCATTTCTGAAAAACAAAATTTACTTGCAAACCTTGAGTGTTATTTTAATGATTTCTAACATACGTTGCCGAAAGTAGGTAGGATTACCCAGAGCTTCTGTTAGTAGTACTGGATGTGAGAATTTCTCTTCGTTGTTCACACTTAAATGTGTGAATATATAATCAAATATTTGCTCCTGATTATGAAAATGTGTAACCACATTCCGATCGAACTAAATTAAATTGAAAGCTGAATTTAATTTACTACATTTTTTTTTGTTTTTTTAACAATTTGTATATGACAGATGCTCATACCTGCGTTTTGAGGTTTAACCGAACAGACTCAATATTTAATATGGCATTTCCGATTTGTGTATGTTTGTTTGCTTGCGGATCTGCCACTTCTTTCCTTCTATCTCTTCTTGGTTTTAAAATGAAGTTTCGAAACTCCAGTAAGGGTTGTGAACTGTTGCTCCAACCAGCCCGGCACTTAAATGAACCTGAAAGTGTGTATCAATTAAAACTTTAAAACTCAAGCATTACGTTATTAATTATGATCTTGCCATTATCTATAATGAGTGCATGTTTATTGTCTACATTATAAGTGTGAACTATGTCCACGTTTTGTGGATTTTCAGTCAGATTTATAATGTTCATCGCTTATAAAACAACTAAACAAAATTCAAACTATTTAAAATAACATACTTGCACAATTTCAAACCCAACGAAGAGCACAAGGTGATTTGAATATAAAATATTTTTTAGAGCAAAACTGTCAAATTTAAAAGGGTATAATTTTTGCGGTAAGACATTTGTATATGACCGTTGCTCGTTAATTTATCTATGTTGTCCATTGTAGTGATCACCTACAAAATGTCAATTGTATATATATATTCATGAGTTGAATTACTCATTATATTTTGCCAAAAATACTTTTCACATAATAATAATACTATTTCTACCACGATTTTATTCCTATTTAGATAAATCATACTAGATAGAAATATATTTTTCCTCAGACAAAATTTATTATTATTTCATTTTTTCACGCATAAGAAGTCAGTTAGAAATAGTAAACAGTATTTATCAGAACATTTCAACTAAAAAAGTTTGTATATATGTATGTATTTTGCATCTATTATTCAACAATCTAAGAAATTTGCTGCCATCAACAACTCCAACGCTATCTCAGGGGCTATCGGAAACTCGGGAATTTCAGTAGAACTGTTGGTGTATCGCACTTTATATGTAAAGTACATGCAAACCTTTTGGAGGACGTGAGATCTGTAAAATTTAATTAAAACATTATTTTTTATAAAATAAAATGAAAACACTTTATAAAACGAAATACCGGCATATGTGTGAAAGATTTCAGTCACATTATTACACATTTTGCCGGTTAAAAAAAATATACTTAAAAGATGCTGTCGGCAAATTTTTCAAGTCTAGAAATTTAATCATGCAAAATTTATTGATTAACTAATTAACTTGTGCTATTTTTTGAAAACAGCAAGTGTACTCTTAATTTGTTCAGTTAGAAAAAATGTAACATATATTACACATAAGTTTAATATACATAATGACTTTGGCACGTATTATAAAACAATTATGACTGGAAACACACGTATCTTTAAAAGTTCAGTAGCTGGATACATTATCGTATAATCTGTGTACTATTTAAGTTGCCAAACAGGTATTAAGGTTAGTATAAAAATAATTGCATATTAAACTGGTAGCATATATTATCGTTTTACTTACGGAATTTCTCTAAAATGCACTTCATTTGCTTCATTTTCTGCAAACTGTCCAGGACCCGAAAGCATAGCCTTTATGGTTCCAGAGGTCAGAGCATGCTCTCGTTTTACAATAAATTCCTGGCCATCTGACGATATTAATTTAACGTACATAGCATCAGGTCCTTCACATCCTCCATAGATTTTGTCACTTCGTGGTTCCTCCATTTTTAGTTATTGTTAATGTTGTTAATGTACGTGTTTGTTAGACTGAAGTTTATAACTATTGCCTTGAGATCGAATCCACTAATAATATTTTTTCGAAAAGAAGTCGTATATAAATAACAATAGTGCTTTGTGATTAAGTATTAGTGGAACTTTAACAGGGTGTACACAATGCTATTGTTTCGCATATTCGGGTACAAAACAAAAACTAAAGCAAGGAATTTACGTTATAAATGATAGAACAAAATGTAACGTTTTTGTATATTTTATTATATTTATAAATTTTTAATTATATATGATTAAAATTTTTAAGTTCACTTCAATAATGTGAAATATGGACAAGATCTGTTGAGTATTGTAAGAAATTTTGAACATAATAAAGTTCTGTGTGTTTTTTTTTACACGTTCCTCTTTAGATTAATTTTTAGTTATTTCAGTTGTTCTTTAGTAAATTCTGTGTCGGTTTTGCGGAGAATATATTTTTTATTAACAAATTTTGTAGTTCTTTATAATCGCAATATTTTTTTTTATTAAAAATGCAGTCGCTTTTGCTCACATCATTACGACATGGAAAATGTGTTTCCAATTCCTTTACATTAGGTTTGACAGCCTCATCGTCGAAGATTTGTAAGTGTTACCTTTGGGGGACTAGGTCATTGTTTTGGGTTGTATGAATATGGATGCATGACGTTTACCTAAGTATAGCGGTACAAAGTTCATCTCCGGCAACCATTCTCAAGATCAACATATACACATAAATAATGTAATCAGTAATTTAATATTAATTAGACTGTGTATAAAATTGGTATCGCTGCGTACATACATCAATTACGTATAAATTATTAAATTGAATATAACCATAAAGACTCATTGATATAATATGTACCATACTTATATACTTTGAAAATTGCAGTTAATAATTTTTGTTATTATTAATGAATTTGTTAATTTCAGCATGTTATCGCAACTTGTCGACATCAAATACATTGTATAATGAAAATGCCAAATCCTTTAAAAAGGGATTTGAACAAAACATAGTTTTGGTCGATGGCGTTCGTACTCCTTTCTTACAATCTTTTACCGACTACTCTAAATTGATGCCACACGAGTTAGCTCGTTATTCTTTGATGTAAGTATTTTTATACCCTCACCAAATCTTAAGCGCAAATAAAACTACGATAATATTTTAACATTACAGCAATTTGCTAGATAAAACAAATATTAATAAGGAAATTATTGATTACATCGTTTATGGCACAGTAATACAAGAAGTTAAAACTTCAAATGTTGCTCGTGAGGCAGCCTTGTGTGCTGGTTTCAGCGACAAAACGCCTGCGCATACAGTTACAATGGCGTGCATTAGCTCAAATGTGGTAAGTATTATATTTGAAACATTTCGGTGTGTTTCATTACGTTAACATTTCTATTCTTACAGGCTATTACTACAGGTATTGGTCTACTAGCGACAAATACTTATGATGTGATTGTTGCTGGTGGTGTCGAATTTATGTCCGATGTACCCATTCGGCATTCGCGTAAAATGCGTAGCCTTTTATTAAGAGCTAATAAGGCAAAGACACCATTACAAAAATTGAGTTTACTTGCAACTTTGCGGCCGAATTTCTTCGTTCCAGAGGTGATTACTACTATACTATCTTAGTTGGCCTCATACTATTTATATTCATTTTGACCTGTTTACAGCTACCTGCCGTTGCTGAGTTTTCTTCAGGTGAAACTATGGGACATTCTGCCGATCGTTTGGCTGCAGCTTTTAAGGTGTCGCGCAAGGAGCAAGACGACTACGCGTTGCGTTCACACACCTTAGCTAAAGAAGCTCAGGATAAAGGTTACTTCACTGACGTGGTTCCAGTTAAAGGTTCGATTAATTTTTTAATTAAATACTGAAGTTCGAAGATTACTGAAATGTGTTCGTTTCCAGTGCCTGGCAGCACAAACTTTGTAGAAAGAGATAACGGTATACGAGTTTCCACACCAGAAAAATTAGCTAAACTTAATCCTGCATTTATTAAGCCATATGGCACCATTACAGCAGCAAACGCTTCGTTCTTGGTAAATATATGTTTTAACATTATTTAAGTTTTTTTTTTTAATAATTATATATTTTAAGACGGATGGTGCATCTGCTTGTGTACTTATGAAAGAAGAGACTGCAAAGAAACTTGGCCTAAAACCCAAAGCGTATTTACGTGACTTCCTATATGTCTCACAAGATCCACGTGATCAATTACTTTTAAGTCCCGCTTATGCTATACCAAAACTTTTAAAAAAGACTGGTCTCACGCTTAAAGATATCGACACTTGGGAAATTCACGAGGCATTTGCTGGACAAATTTTGGCGAATCTAAAAGCTTTGGACTCCGATTGGTTCTGCAAGAACTATATTGGACTTAGTGAGAAATTTGGTACACCCGATTTGAGCAAATGGAACAGCTGGGGTGGTTCATTGTCAATTGGTCATCCATTTGCCGCAACCGGTGTCCGACTTTGCATGCACACGGCAAATCGTTTGGTACGTGAAGACGGGCAACTCGGTGTAATTGCGGCTTGTGCTGCGGGTGGTCAAGGTGTTGCAATGCTGCTGGAGAGATATCCTGGTGCTACTGCAGATTAAATACGCATTTATTACAATTTGCACCCATATTCTTCCATTTACGTTTAGACAGTGTGGCCTTCAGTAAGACATCTTAGTCATTTAATATTTAGGCAGTAAAGTGTTCAATATAAAGCGATATTAATTCAAATTTAGCAAAAAAAAAATTGTATCACATTCTTTTTTCTTATTATTTTTATGATAAAAGCGAATCTGTATATTATTGCATGTGTAGCCCTTTCATAGTTTTATTTAATAAAGTGTATAAAGAAAACATTTCACATGCACCTGTCCTTATTTTTTTATGAAAGAATTGTTCCCAATGGCATAAATAAAACAACAGGTTATGAATTTATTTTTTATTTAATTTACTTATTATACATTTGGAATCAGCTCAAACTCTTGCAATTATTATGTATGTATGTATTTTTCTTTACATACTAATTGTTGTGCCTTACAATTTCAAACTGTCTTTCACTTGACGGTAGAATATCGGAAACGATTGAGAGATAAAAATAACTATTTTATATAATTATTTAAAAAACAAAATCGCATTTAAAAGTAACAAGTTTACATCGAAAACCAAACAAAAATCGCCGAAAATATTTAATAACAAATAAAGTATCTTGAATTTTACCAAAACAGGTTATTATTATATAATAGAGATTCAATAATCTTTAGGGACGGAAACTATTTTGAATTAAACAAATATAAATACAAAATGTTTACCTTTTCAAAAGAACTGTTGTACGATTAAAGGCGCACATCGCGATCATAATTATTAATTAAGAAATAAGAACGAATAATAGTAATATAGTAGAAATAGTATTCTGCTAGAAAATACGATAGTAGTCGTTTCTGATATAAATATATTGGCCATCGCCTTAATAGTTTTATGTTTTGCATTTTGGACCAAGAAGCACGTTGTCGTGTGTACAATGCCTATGTGACGCATTTATAAAAATCTATAAAAGAAAACTTTTGTAAAGCATTATCCTGCATCGCCAACGAAGTGGCCAGGTCCAATATGCATTGTAAAGCGATATGCATAGTAACACGCAAACGTGGATTGAAAAGCGTTTATATTTGTAGCGGCCACAGAAAAAGCTTGTTACGTTAAGTACTTTTCGTTAGCGCTTTTTTATATTTTAAGATTTTGCGTTGCATAAAAAACATAAAAATTTACGAAAGCCTATGTTTTTAAGTGCTGCGCTTTATGGTAGATACTTTACTGCTTAAAGTGCTTAAAGTCTTTAATGGTCCCAAGCTTTGCTTTTAAGGGGAGAGTAGGGTTTTTAATTTTTTATAAATTCAAATTTATATAAATGCATAATATCTCAAGAATGTTGTGACTAAATTTCAAGTAGATTGGATTAAAATTGAATTTAGTAGTATTTTTATAGCGGTCTTACATCAGATTTCAAAACTGTAAAGCGTTTTCCCCACAACTCACATTCGCAAAGTCGCTGCCCTTCATAACTTCAAAACTACTGCACCGCTCGTTTTGAAATTTTGAACATAATTTACGAGAAAACATGAAGAGTTTTCCAATTTGTTAGTATTTTTCCAAAAAGTGAAAAGTTGTAATTTCAAAAAAAAAAAAAAAACCCAGCGTTACCTGGGCAAAACGATTATAGTTATAAGGCTTGATTTTTTGATTTCAGCTGAACCAGCACGAAGTTATACGAGGGGTAGCGCAATTCATTTTTTAATATTTCTTTATGAAAATATAACAGAAAATATTCTTCAAATGTTATACTTTAATGTACCATTGGTTTTTTTTTTTAATTTTAACTGTTTTTATAAAAATGGGCCTTGTTTTACACGATTTAACCCTACTCCCCAATTAACTGCAATATATTCTCAGCTTAAGTTATAATTCAATTACATAAGGACATTTTGTCAAAAGTGTGTTAACTCATAATGTCAAAATCAGCTGTTTTACTTTCTTTTTATAATTCGAAAATATAAAAAATGTTGTAATTAATAACTGAATTCGAATAGATTGAAAATCACATAAAATCATCAAAATGTAAACAAAAATTCACTGTTGATTAAGAAATATTTTCTTAAGATGAAGCACGAAACAAGCTCCGACGCAACAAAACCTTTTTTAATCAAATCATAGCTTAAGTTATCGCACTTTCATTTCAATAATTTTATTAACAAAATTAGGAATGAAGATTGTAATAAACAATGAAACAGCAAATAAATTTCATAATGATAAACAGAACAAAACAAGCTTTAACATGAATAAATTTAATTGAAATTTCGTAGTCACAGCAAATTGTTAATGAATAATTAGCTAATTAGCAGACATAAAAAAATCGTTATTATTTGAAAGATATTGCTTAGTTGAAACAGAGAATACTTAAATTTATATTAAACAAAAATTAGTCAATCCTTTCTCATTTTTAAGACTGTATGCACGTAATGAAACTAGCAGTTAAGTAGAAATAATAACAGTTTCTTTTTGTTAAAAAATTATAAATATTGTATATAAATTGTTTTTTTTTTTCACATATCTCTATAATATGTGGCAATTACACATAAATATATATGTATTTATGTACGAGTATGTAAAGTACTTTTTAGTTTTGACTATAAATATTTATTCGGCTAGCGTTTTAACACATAAATTAGTTGCACCTTTTTTGTGAAGCAATATTAGTGTTCGAATATAAATGATCGAATTCCGAACTATCCGTATGTTCTACAATTTGTAGTTGTTCATTCGTATTATGCATAATATGCTCAAATGCGAGATTAGATCGTCTAGCTAACCCGTCGTTATTTAGCTGGGTTGTCACATGTAAATTTCCAATATTTGGTAATTGCTGTTGCGTCAATTCCCCATCATTTCTGTCTTTTTCGGTTACTAAATTGTTGTAATTTTGATATTTACTATTAGACATTACTTGATAACCATCTTCGGTTAGTGTTACAGCTGTCTCCTCATTCGCCGTTGTGATATGTCCACTAGACGCCTTCACCGCGAAGGCCGACGACGAATCACTCGGCGTTGTGGTCAATGGATTGGAACGTGCTCTTTCCTGCAAAGGTGCTGACGGTGATGAAGATATACCATGGCGCCGACGTATAGAATCCACTACATCAAACAAGTTCTTGGCATCCATAGCCAGCACATGCGCGGATGACAACATATTTCTAGAAGAAAAACAAAACAGTAGTAAATTGCACAAAGTAGAAAGAAAAATTAGAAATGTTAAGAATAAGCAATATATTACCGTCTGTATTCATTATCGAGCGTTGTATCACTATACTGCTGTGCTAAACGCATTGTTGCAACCAAATCCTGCATATCCTTTGACAGCACTTTGTGTGCCATTTCGACCTCTCTAAAATTTAAAAGATTTCCGTTAGAAATGAATTATTATGCATAGGTGTCGTTGTAGGCTTACCTAAGTGCTTGCGTTGGAAAAACCCTGGACAATCGGTCCACGGATGCCAGCAAGGCGCGCAATTCAATTCCAACATTTCGTACTAAATATAAATAGTTATTGGCATTTGATTTTTCCACATCCTGCGAAAGTGTCATTATCGCCTTAACCACATTTTTAGTGGCACTATACACTTCATCATTGCTGCGATCAATCGACAACGTTGGTTTATTGCCACCACTATTAACACTTTGCTTGGCAGTTGCTACATCATTATTTGGCCTTGAATCACTTGGTGTATCATTAAAATTACTACTTGACGAATTCTCTATTGAGGATGTGCTATTCTTTAAGGTGTCAAGTTTGAAGTCGGGGGTGTGGGGACGTGAAGCTCCTAAGGAATTACTAATACTTGGTGAACACTCGGGTAAACTTGATGGTCCATGATGGGAATTGAAATAGCCCATGGCATTTATATCCGAATTTGACGTTGCAAGGCTCAGACGCTTCTTCTAGAAGTGGTGAAATTAAAAGAAAAAAAAAATAATGATAATTAAATTTAAAAATAATGTTGTAAATTAAAGATTTTCGCACAACAAAAACTCTAAAATTAATTCTGAAAATTTTTTATGTTCAAAAAGTAAAAAAAGTTCGAAAAAATACAACATACTTATATAAATTAATACATTCGAAAAAAAAAGCATTTTAATAATGCTTATTTGTACAATCAAATGTATATACAAATTTCAAATAAAAATGGCACATTTCAAGACTGTTTATTTTTAAAATGTAAAAACCTAAAAAACCGTGGTAACGCATACTATTGTATTCATAAAAATGTAACAATATACCAACAGCTTCAAACTAAGGGTGCGCAAAAATGTTGAAATAAATATGTATGTACATACATACATACGTGATACTTCGAAACTAGAAATATATGTGCTACTGCGAGCCTAGAGAACAGAAAACGACAACGAAGCCATTACAAATACTTGAAAATTATAAACAAAAGGAAAATTCAAACGAAAACTGTAACAAATTGCATTTAGTAGGGCAATCTCAAACCTGTGCGCCAAGTGAACACTCAGCAATATGAACGCCATCCTGGCTTATGCCAGCCGATTGTGCGTTTAGCTGCACTAAATGTAAATTATCTGTATAATTAGAAGCTTCTAATTCGGAATTTTCATTAATTGGATAAGGATATTGTTGCATGGTATGCATATTAAAGTCCTTGCTTATGCCATAGCTAGTTGTCAAAGATTTCCCGCCTGGTGCCATTGGCGTATATGTTGAGTTGGGTGAAACTTTCGGATCGAATGGTTGCGCAATGGCTTGAGATTTACAATTACCAGCTAAGTCGCGTTGTGATTGCATACGTGGAATTATGTCAGCTGTGCGATTACGATTTAGCGAGCTTGTAGCGCACGATTTAACATTACTACCACCGAAATCGTAAATTTCTTCTTGTAATGGTTCCGCTTCCATTGAGCTTTTCATTTGATTGCGATATGTACGATATGAAATATTACGTTCTAAGCTATTCGATAAATTTGTTTTTATTGTTTGATTGCCGGCATATGCGTCTAATGTTGTTGCTCTTTCTAAACTACTACTACGATGTACCCAATCGCGCATGAAATTATTGGAAATAGAAATCGATTGATTGCGCTCCAAACTACCACCTTTCGATGGCAACGGTTTAATTGCGCCAATTATGTAAGTATCTTGATTACGCTCTAAACTGCCATAAGAATGTGGATTGCATCTACGCAATAAATCGGATTTCGTAATTTTCGGATCCACTGGCATGCGTTGGAAATCATAGATATTTGCTTGTGGATTATATAAAACAAAATTATTTTGCATTTGTGGCTTTTGACAGTGAATATTAGTGGGAATTGTGCAAAAATTATTTTGAATATCCTGCCGTGAGTTTTTCAAATACACCGTAGTAGTGTTAGGTTCTACAGCATTGCCTGTATTTAGGTAGACGCAATTCGTGGAATGCTTAGTTTTATCTAGACAACTACAATGTAAGGGCAGAGACAGGGGTTGTGTTTCATTAGTATTTGTTGTGGATTTAGCCAAAGTAGTTTGTTTTGATGTGCCACCTAAACGTGTTAATGTTGAAACATTTTGCTCATCCGCTATGGGATCCAATTTGAACAATTCGGATGCTGGTAATTTGGTCATTTTCAATGGTACGTCTGTACTATTTGGGACTTTAGTAGTTTTGGTTTCGTCAATTTCTACAGCTAATGTATTAAATACCGATGCTGGTGTTGTATAAGCTGCTGGATTAATGCTGCGATTCTCGTTTTCCATCATTAATCTGGCCAAGACTTCGGGATTTTGTGCGATAATGTATGTTTGGGGGCTTAATGGATTCTTTTCGCTCACTATGGATGACTGCAGCGCGGAATCTGTAAACATGAAACAACACAACAACGATTAGTTGGAGTATAAATTTATATAAATATGCACTTGATTATTGTTTAAACGGTCAGCATTGGCAAAATACTTTGAAAAAAAAAATAAATAAATAATAATAATAATAATAAATATTGTACCTCCTTCGAAAGGTGTTCTTGTCGGTTTAACTGGTGGTACTTCGCCTTCACAGCCACTCCATGACATAGCCGCTACTCGTCTGTTCTCACGCCTCATAGTTTCCGAATCGCTAATCTTCTCATCCACTAAAATTTCACTATAAACAAAATGTGTACACAATTATTTTTCAGCATGTCTTAAAATCTGTACGCCACAAAAAAATTTGGGGCCACTGAACAGTGTTCTAATATGACTATAACTATTATTTAGTACTTAAGTACTGCAACTTACTAAAGCGTTTCTTTGATCCGCTGAAACGTGGGTCGTTTGGATGGCTCATGTGCCCAACATTGTGACATCAGCGAGTACAAGCGTGGCGGACAATCTTTTGGCAGCGGCAAGCGTTCACCGTTCTCCAATTTCGTTATAACATCACTATTTTTAATACCTTGAAACGGTTTAACACCCAACATTAGTATTTCCCATGCGCAAACGCCTAAAAGTGACAACCGAATAGTATGTTTATTTAAATTTGCATATTTCTCAAAATTTTGCCAACAATACCAAACATCCAGACATCGCTAGCGTTGGTGAATCTTCGAAAATTGATGGACTCTGGCGCCATCCACTTAATAGGCAATATACACATGCTCGAATGATAATACGACTGATCCGACACCCAACGCGACAGACCGAAATCAGCAAGCTATGATTAATAGGTAACAAAATTAATTGAATTCTCTCTTATAAAAAAAAAAAACAAAAAAGGAAAATTGAATAAAAAAAACACAAATTATTTTGATTTTATTTTCGCTTAACATAACTAAATTTATATACAAAAGCTAAATTTTACCTTAATACAAGTTGGCGAACTGACTAACACATTTCGTGCCGCAATATCTCTATGTACGAATTTCTTGGATTCCAAATAGCTCAGGGCTGTCGACAACTGGTAGCAGTACAAGAGCAGCGTACCACGCTTAAGTCTTAAAATACAAAGCAAACGTAGAAAGTTACAGTAGAAAACAAACAAACAGGCATGCGTTGTTTTCCAGGCGGTGATGTCTATTTTTACATTGAGCTCAGCGATGGTTGGGAACGTTATTGTCGTTGGCCAAATAAAAAATGGAAACAAAAGGAGCTACCTCCTCCAACAGTAATCAATTATTGGCGCGATCTTGAAGGTGCCAAAAAGGAGGAAATCCTATTGGCGGATTTATATTTCGAGAATTGGTTAAAATCACGTCTAAAAGAAGACGCCTGTTTGCCACTGATATATGCTGTTGGCAATCGTTTCATTAAATTGGAAAAGGATTTTCCAGCCGGTTTTAGATGTGCGCCATTGCCAATGAGTCTTCAAGAATATAGAGAAATGCAAGCCATAATAAAAGGTAGGCATTTGTTGCGCAGTTTGTATGGCAGCTATATGCTAGTCATCCGATCTAATATAAAAAATTTCTTCGGAGATTGTATCGTTAACAATAATCTATGACAAATTGCGAGAAAATATCTCGTCAAAGAAAAAAGTTTTTCATACAAGAACTAGAATTTTTTTCAGTTTGTTTGGCAGCTATATGCTATAGTCGTCCGATATGAACAATTTCTTCGCATCTTGTACAAACAGCCATGTCAAATTTCGTTAGCATATCTTGCCATATAAAAAAGTTTTCAATACAAGGACATGATTTTGATCATGCTATAGTGGCACGATATCGGCGATTCCCACAAATCAGCAGCTTTTTGGAGAGAAAAAGACGTGTGCAAAATTTCAGCTCAATATCTTAAAAACTATATCATTTACATAATTTTTTTTTTTTGCTTTCTACGTCTTCTTCTGGGTGTTACAAACTTTGTGGCAAAGTTAATATATCTTGTTCAGGGTATAATGAGGACAAACGTTTTTTTTATATGCAAAAGCACATGGCGTTTTCAATATAGGCGTGGAAACCGCTCTTATGCTGTTCGCAATATAGTCGGGTATATACATATAATTGAATTGGACCGGGCGAAAGATTATCTTGTTAGAAGGTTGAAGCAATGACAACCTTTTTTTACGAATTGATCCATATAGCTTTGGTCAAGCGAAAAAGTTAATTACATAATAACGGTTTATTACTAATTCGCATATATATATACATACAAGCGTATATTTTTTTGACACTTAAGCTAATTTCCTTACAACTTTGCTATTTAAATTATTTAAATTTATACTTCCAGAGGAACTGAAACAGAAAAAGAAGGCGGAAAAAGAAAAGAAAGCCAAGGCAAAAGCAGCGAAAACAAAGAAAGGCAAGAAATAGACCAACTGCTTAGAAACTCAACAAATTACAATATTACTGCTAGAATTTACCACCTTTAAATATATAAAATTAAATGAAAAAATTAACAAAAAAAATTCAAAAATACAAAAAATCATAAATATGCATACAAAGCTCTATTATGCACCATTTATGATAAAAGTGTTAAAATTCAAGTATTAAAGAATAATTATGCCTCCTTATGTATCACTTTTGAAAAAAATAATTAACTGATGCAGAATAGGGCTTACCCAGAATAAGTTGAAATAAAAACAAAATTGAAACAAAAATTTTCATTCAGCGTAACTTGTTTTGGAAGCATAAGGCCAGCTGTCCTAAACGAATTTGTTGCATTAGTGTCAAAATATGTATTACAAAAAAATGTCCATGTCAACATTTATTTTGCTGTTGGTTCTGCATTGATACATTTTTTCGTTAGGTTCGAAATCATACATACTTTTTACTGTTGGCCTTTAAATATGCCCGAAGTTCGCCATGACGTGCTAATTCCATAACAATCCAAATCGGGGACTCACTGCATATACCAATTAAACGAATTATATGTGGATGATCGAATTTTTGCATAATATCTGAAAAATAAAATTTTGTTGTCTTTTAAGATTTTTACAATTGCTTTATTACAATAATTTCTAACGTACAGGCTTCCTCTAAAAACTGCTCCATTTTTTGAGGGTCATCACTTGCTTTGCACGTTTTAACTGCTACTTGAATAACCGAAGATTTCATTTCCATAGTATTCAATGCATTCGATTTGGTATTTTTCTTAGCCTTCGGAAAATATGTGCCTATATGAACATCACCAAATTGGCCCACGCCAATTTTTTCATTCAGATTTATTTGAGATCTTTCTAATTCATAATTTCGAGCTAAATTGCAATTTTAATTTAATTAAAAAATACATCAAAAGATTAAATCAGAATTGGAAAACATATAGCATATACACTAATAACAAACCAGTAGGCGTTGAATAGTCGCCCTCATCATCGATTAAACCAATTTCAGCGTAGTCTTCGGTTAGGGTAGGCTTTGGTTTTGTGCTGGTGTTAATTGTTGCACCACTACCATCAGTTTGATCTTCCTCATTATGCTTTTCCCTGTCGAAGCCGTTGTTTTGATTCCCTTTTGAAGTTGCGGCTGTTGCATTCAACCCATTATTTATATTATTTAAAGTATTCACATCATTACGTTCCCATTTGGAAACGTAACCACTGCCTTGAATTAAGCAACAATAGCCATCAATAAGATCAGCAATGCTTTCAGCCGTCTGAAACAACGCGTAAAAATTTTAAAAATTAAAAAAAAAATTTTAAAAATTAAAAAAAAAATTTTAAAAATTAAAAAAATAATTTTAAAAATTAAAAAAAAAATATTTAAAACAATAAAAAATCCGAATTTGAACAAAAATTGAAAAATTAAATATAATGAAAAGATAAATTAAAGTAATTATAAATAAAATTTAAGAACAATAAAAAAATGTTAACAAAAATTTAAAAATATTTAAAAAAAAATTATTAAAAAAAACGCAATTTTCATTCGTATGCAACTTACATTTATGCCATCACAGGTGATTACTAAGTCTTCATCATTGCTTCTTGTTGTTATTCGCAATTGAGTTTTTACCTCCCAACATTTACAAGGACTATATTTATCGTCTGTAGCGGCTGTATTAGCAAATAGCTTTTTAGATTGGTTATTTACATTATCCCTGGGTATAGCAAGTGTTACAATTTTAATAATGTCTTTGAATGTTGCGACGCTTATCAGGTCTGCTTGTGGATGTGTTTGGTAGGAAATGCCTGAAAAGCCGACACATAAATATGTATACAGTTGAAATGTTAGTTGACAGGCATACCGATTTGTGAGCCGATGTACAAGAAACCAGATATATTCCATGCTGAGCTTAATGTTACAGAAAATTTTTCATTTCCATTAATTTTACATGTTTGAAGAAGATCAAAAAACCTGCAAAAATGTACATGAATAAAATGAATGTATACCCAAACTTATAGTTATACGATTATTTTAATATAGCAGGCAATAATGTTGACACTGAATCCGAAATTTATTTCAAAGTAATGTATCGTATATGTAGAGCTTACTTGGTTATGTATTCAATGTCCGTTAAATTGTACACCTTCTTATATCCAGCTTGAATTAACTTTTTCAAGTTCTTTGGCTTTACTGAACTTATCACAGATTTTGGAAGAAAAGAATTTAAACCGATTTCCTTCTCAACATAATCAATATGGTGTTTTTTATCAGGCGCTTTGATTACCGTATTCTTAAAATAATGTCGGATACCTAAACAGCACAATTGTATCGCGGTATCGACATCGATTGTTGGATCAGATAAAACATAATCTTGTTTAGCCTAAATATAGAACAAATTCGAATTTAATGTTGGAAATTATTTAACATCGTATATCAGTCATTACCTGATCAAAATAATATAAACAGCTGGTTTTGTCTTGCTCATAAAACTCCGTCAAACTATTTGGAATGTAACGTATCCGCAGCTCAGCGCGCCAAACACTATTTACCGAACTTCTGTTGCTACTTTTGATATTTGTATTATCATAGTTGGAACATTCGAGATTTGGGCAAATCGGGTACCAAATATATTTCATAACCTGATTCATACCCGTTGATCTCGTCATCCATAATATTTCTTTTGTTACCACATTATTTAGACGTAGTGCATAGAAATGTGGATTCGGCATATGACCCGGTACCAAACTACGTACAGCACGCTCAATAACATGAAGCACAGTGTCATTTGTCTCGTTAACATTAATTGGCCGCATACCCTTGTTAGGCATGTGTAAATGCAAAACACATTCATCCATTTGTCCTAAAATTAGTAAAAACAGTAAATAATGAAATTTATGAAGGGAAAGTGTGTTTTATCAACTTACCTTCATGTTGTGGCATTGACGCTAGTTGAGTTCCAAAACCGATAGTAGCTTGTAATTTCGACATTAGATTGTATAGTAGTTAAGTTTCCCTCCTCGTTTGATGCTTTCAAGTCAATCTAATATAACATTTGTCCATTCTGAAATATATTAAAATGCAATTTGATAAATATGCATCTCTTCACAAACTCTAAACATATTTATAGTGTACAAGTCAGGGTAAGTTTTGTCAGGAATGGAATATTTGTAAACATACCGGCTTTACCTTTATCAGTATATTTGGCAAAGTGGAATAGAGATTTTTGTAGCCAAATTCATAACATTTAATAATCACTTTCTTTTATTGTAAGTATATATCGTTTTACTTTCTAATAAAGTTATATTAACGAATCACAATGAAGCATTTGCTTTGAGTTGAATTCTTGACAGCATAGTTATAAAGGTACATCTACTACATTCATAGCTTTGATATCCAATAACACCCACCAGTAACAAGATATTGAAATGAATGTGAACACTTTTAATTTATGCCAATGGATTTGGCATTTGTGCATACTTCACACAAAATTTCAACATAGCAAAGCATAACCCTAATTCCATAAACTAGATACAAAAACAAAATTAAAGGTGCTTGCACCCATTCCACATATGTACATGTCGAATTGTGTGTGAGGAAAGACAACGATAGAACTTGCAATTCACGCCTACATATATTTAACACTGTATTTATATTTTTAATATGCGCTTTAGTATCCATTAATATGTACTGACGAATATTCATAACTTTTTAATCATAATTATTTATAAAAACACTTGCACATTATGTTTTTTCTACGATAATATAAGGTGTTGTCAATCTTACATATATATGTACGTCGGATGTCCTCTACGATTTCACCAGCTTATATAGAGTTTTCAGAGTAAATGCCGCATTATTTCAATTGTTTATCATTTATTGTCACTCAAATACTGTCCGGTGCAATATTTAAGAATAATAAAACTTTTTATAAGCAAATTTATAACTTTTATGCTTAACTCAATACATTTGTTACCAAACAGATTGATTAAATCTAATGCTGCCATATAGCAACATTTTTCTGTATTTTTAACATATACTGCAAAATTTCAAAACAGCACAGGGTAATAGTTGTGTACACATATATTTGTAGAAATTTCACTTGGTAGCATAAAATTTATAAACTGCTTTAACGACCGAAGGAAATGACGTCCATTGAACTGTAATTCTACTTCTGACAGATACTTCATCTCCATCTTTCTTTTTTCTTCTACTACCATGGCGGTAGGTGTTTGGAAATTTTTCTACTACATATTATCCGTGTCCATCAATATATTAAATATATTTTCAACATGTAAAAATTGTGATTTACCCACCTTTCTTGTGCTTTATATCATACCCAATCGTATTTTTGCAATGTACCTATGAATCACAAATTTCATTGATATTTCTTTTACATGTACAATTCTGGATTGAAGGATGTTAAGAAAATCAAACGCGACCCCGCTAAAAACCCTATGCGGGATCTCCACATCAGGAAACTCTGCTTAAACATCTGCGTTGGTGAATCTGGTGACAGACTTACTCGTGCTGCCAAGGTAATGCTCTTAACTTACTTTTCTAACTAGAGTAAATTTAACTAATCAATGAACATTTTTTTTACTAGGTGTTGGAACAATTGACAGGACAACAACCAGTCTTCTCCAAAGCCAGATATACTGTGCGTTCTTTTGGCATTCGTCGTAATGAAAAGATCGCCGTACATTGCACAGTTCGCGGTGCTAAAGCTGAAGAAATTTTGGAACGCGGCTTGAAAGTGCGTGAATACGAGTTGAGACGCGATAACTTCTCTGCCACCGGTAACTTCGGATTTGGTATCCAAGAACATATTGATTTGGGTATCAAATACGATCCCTCTATTGGTATTTATGGTTTGGACTTCTACGTCGTATTGGGCCGCCCAGGTGTGTAAAATATCAGTCTTGAGTACGCGAGTGTGTATTTGTGTTGCACTTAATTAGGTGTCTGTTGGTCTTTTCGCCACTGGCACTCAGTAATGTGCATAAATTAATGTTAGTGATCTTTGCTTAATGTGGCTGATAAATATTAGTTTAGTTGCACGGTATAGTTCGTACATTAAATCACATACGAAATGGGCTAATTTTCTAGAGTCTTATAACTTTGTTTATATGCAAATTGTGTCGCAGTTTTTGTAATTTGCGAAAAGATAAATGCATATGTACCTATTAGTTATAGGATATATATATGTATATATATTTAGAAGTCTGCAAATTTCGGATAGGAGTTTTAATACAGAATAATGAATTGTTTTCTTTTTATATTTCAGGTTACAATGTTGCACACAGGAAACGCAAGTCCGGCACAGTTGGTTTCCCACACCGTCTCACAAAAGAGGATGCCATGAAATGGTTCCAACAGAAATATGACGGTATCATTCTTAACAGTAAAAAGTAAATAATGTCCATGTTGTCATTAGTTGGGGAAATATAATTTTTTAAAACAAATTTGCGTAATTTTTATTCTGTAAAAGCCAACCAACAACAAGATAAGTATGTATTGCACAATTTCATCGTTAAAGTGACCAGTTCAATGTTTTATCAAAAATATAACTCAAAATGCCAAAACCGATAGTGTTGCAAATAAGTCTGGCTAAACAATAGCAGTAAAATTAATAACAAATTAGTTTTAGTCGACAAAATACATGTATAATTTTGTGGCAAGATTATGCGAAACATTACATGTTTATACATGTATCTACGTATATTTATTTAAGTATACGGTTTATTTTAATAATAAATAATATAAAACAGCAAATAATAATTTCGTAGACGTTAGAATGGTTATAAATTATTGAGTATTTTATGTAGGTTAAGATCACTGGAAAAGATGATAGGGTAGGTAGGTACATTGTTCAAACAAAATTTTTAAAACGGCGGCAATGCCCATAGTGTTGATGTCTTATCAGCTGATGTCGAAAGGAAGGAAAAATCAGTCGGATGCCAACGTGCTGATATAGCTTTGTCGCTGTGTTGCGCGACTAACACAGATGGTAGGGGTAGAGTTAAATCGCCTTGCAAATCAGTAAGGACAATGTTGTTATCATATCCACATGTGAGCAAATAGTAGGCCGAAGGGGAAAAACGTATAGACCTATAACAAATAGTAAGTAAATGATTAATAAACCCTGCGGAGTGATACGCTCTCATGACCCACCTTATGTCTGCAGTATGTGGCTGGAAACATTGTATGGGTCTGTTTCCGCGTATGTCAAAAAGCACACATGCGCTATCCTCATGTCCAGAGACTAATAAACGACCAGAAGGATCAACACATACTGAAGCGACAGGTGAACCAAATGTTGACCCCTGCAGTGTCATTGGAGCGACTGTGTTCACACATTCGTTAGATCGCAAGTCCCAAAACCGAACTGTTTTATCCTAAAAAAATTGAAACATCTCATTTAGTAAACATTTTTATATGTTAAATCATTTCCAACATTTTTCTAAGCAAAATGCTACTTTTGTTTTGGACACCACTGTATGTGCAAAAGATAATAGTATTTTCGAATAAAACATATCTACTTATATAACAGTTGTGTGTGAAACAAATACCTGGGATCCCGATACAAACATAACACCACCCCAATTGTATAATGATAAAATATGTCCACTGTGACCACCGAGTGTCTGGTAGGGTGTCGCGGTTGTACAATCGGTAACATAAATTTTACAATTGCCAGCTCCACCACTTATAAGCAGTCGCGATTTATTTATGGTATCTTCCACGAAACATAAGTCCCGAACGGTACCATCATGCATAGTTAAGTCGATTTCACGCCCTTCTAGTTGTGTTTCATCGTTATTGAAATGCATGAGTTTAACGGTCTTATCATTTGAACCTGTCGCTATTAATATGCCATCCGCGGACCATGCTGTACAATAAATTGAGCCTTTATGATGTTTTGTGCGTTTAAATAAAACAGTAGGTTGTTGAACTTCATGAAACTTTCTGTAACGAGAAGTTTAAATTTATATTTCTATATCTGTACTAATTACTCACTTTAATTCAGTCAATTGCGGATATTTGCAAATTCGAAATGTTTTCGAATTTGAACCGACAACATATAACTTTCCATTCGGATGAAACTCGGCGCAGCGAACAGCCTGGACATCTGTTAATGTGGTGACAGGTAAAAATCTTGGTCGTTTTGGTTCGATCTGCATTTAATAAATATGTAGATGCATAGTCATGTGATCAGTTTCAAATTAGTTTAAAAACTTCATTGTTAATACCAATTACTACAACTGAATTAACTTTCTCAAAATAGCAGTAAATTCTGTACATAAACATTATTCACTTTGTTTTTGTAAGCACATATACAATAAAGAACACAAGAGTGTATTCATATATGTATATTATTTTCATGCACACTAACGCATATTAATAGACCTAGAGTGTATATTAGATGCAATGCTAGAAATTTACAGCAAAGCTATCTACTTTAGAATGCAGTTAGCAATTGCAGATTTTTTTGTAAAATCCAAATGAATACTCACTTCGTTAACTGTTTTCGTTTTTCCCGAAATCATTTGCAAGAATTAAATATAATTCACTAAAAAAACCTATTTATTGCTGACACAATTTGATTTCACTCCTAAACTTCGATTATGACGTACTAAACTAAAAGTGTATTACCCAAGTCAAATCTAGATTGGAGAAACTTTGTGGCAGTTGAACCATGCTCTGCTGTTGTTGTATGAGAAAGTATCTTTCACCTGACTGTAAATTGTAACTTAGCACACTCTGTAAATAAGCCGCTAGTTAGTTACTAAAGGTCAATTTATGTTTGGTTAAGCGCTGCTCGTTATGTGGTTTTATTATTTATGAAATAAATTGTTTTTATTTGTAAATAATGAGATATTCGAAATCGTAATAGGAAACATATTTTTTCAGTTGCTGCAATTACATATAATACATTGCTAAAATATATAAACAAATAAAAAACAACATAAATAGGAATTTGTTGATAAACACGTATATTCTAACCGAAAAGCGTATTCAAACGCTTACTCTCTGAGGCACCTAATCAGAAATCATTATACTAAGGTTCTTTCATTTCTTTAATTCCATAAAATAATTGATAACTTTAAACATTTAATAAGCTTAATTGAGAAAAATTAATTTAACGATACAGTAAAACATTATTGGTTTATTTAAAGGTTAAATGTTTCTAAAAGTAAGCATGAACACTGTGGCACACTCTGTGTTGTTTTTCATTTCTTATTGTATAATCAGTATTTCCTATTTCTGTAATACAAGATGTATAGGTTAAAAATACCTCGCACACAATATAATTATGGTTTTCAAATCTGCAGAAATTATTTATCCCATGAATACAAAAATACGTTAAATGACTTTAATGTACATGCTTTAGAAACAAACAATGTTCGGACGAAAGGCTATTCGGCGCAAGGTGTCATATTGGCTGACATAGTGAATGGTATTGCACATGATAACAGGGACAACGAATTCAGTGAATCTTTGTTAAAATTGCGTACAGCACCAGGTAAAGCTGCACAGTTCGACGCAACAAATTATGCTATATTCAGGAATTTCCTTGATCATGAGAATGTGGATGAATTATTACCTATCATTAAGAATCGTCTGCAAAGTGGTATATTCATTGACAACTTCATAGGTTGCTACATTTTAAATCAGCTTTTGAAAGAGAATAATTTTATTGGTGCTACTGAGGTCAGTTTGGAAATATTTAAACAGGATTCCTTAGACAATAAACTAGTAGCGGGCTTAATTTTGAAATCTATTTTTGAATACTTGAAACTAAATATTGAGCAAATCATTCCACCAGTTGTTAAAGAAAAGAAATTGGGGAAAAAATCTGATGAGGTAAGTAAAAAATAATAAATACCATCTATGTAGTGACATTAATATACAATTATTAAATGATTTTAGAAAAAAGTACGTGTAAAGTTCATTCGAAACGAAGGTACGAATCAGCTGGCAGGAGAAATCGGGAAAGCGATTTGTAGAATATCAGAATTATACCCAAACGAACTTACAGAAAACATAAAATTATTAGGCGTTTTATTGGACAACAGACATAAATTAGCAACTTCACTTATAAATAATAAGGAAATTAACTTCTGCAAACAAACGTTAGAACTCGTCCAAACATTGCTGAAGAATAAGGAAGGTGTTGATGACAACTTTACAAATGGTTTAAATCGACGTTTGGAAGAAGCTGTTGATACTAAAAATTTAGATACTTTGTTGTCAGTATTTTTAGAAGAAGCTGGTAAAAAAGATGAAGTCAAGCTTATTGAACAGCAAAAAGCGAAATATGAGATATGGAAAGAACAAGATACTCTAGAAAAGAGCAAGAAAATTAATATTATACCGCCTAGTCAACGAAAAGAGAATATTGAACAGATACTAGCTGATGTAAATCAAAAGAGACAAAAGCTTTGGTATTTTGAAAATGAAGAATTAATCGATCTAGAGATATTTAATAAGAAGAACAAAAGTTATCCAAAGAGATGGTTTGGAAAGAAAAAGAAGCCTAAAGTAGTTGATGACAATTATGTTCCACCAGAAATAACTAGAAAAAACTAATGAACATAATTAATGTTTTGTAATTCACTGTGTGAACTGTAAATTATATACATATTAAAAAATTTAAAAAAAAAATCTGAAAATATTTTTGAATTTTAATTAAACTTTCTATATATATGTATAAACAATTACTAAAACATGGTTCTACAATGCCTACCTTATATATAATAAAAAATTTAGAGGGGAACAATAATTCTGAATCATCGATGGATTCATGTATAAATTTGTGTTCTACTGGGTTCTTTTTTTATTTACTAATTTGGTAGCACTTAAAAGCAGTAGCACCGATAAGTGGATGTGTACTTATATAAAAACCATACTAATAATTTTAACTAACTTCAAATTATATTGTTTCATTATTCAATTATTAATCATTGTTTGCGTTTAACTTGCTGTTTAACTTGGGTTGGCAACTAAGTAATTGCGGATTTTTTTAAGAAATCGAAGACAATTTTTTCATGGAACTAACTAAATAACATTATTTTGTAATGTATTGCCCATTTTGATCAATGACCTTTTGCCATCTTTCAGGCAGCATCATAATCCCACGTCCATAAAACTTTTGGTTTTCATTAGCAAAAAACTGAATCAGGTACGATTTGACATCATCATCATTATTGAAATTTTTACCATTCAAGGAGTTTTGTAAAGATCGAAACAAATGTAATCCGATGATGCAAGGTCAGGACTATATGGTGGATGTGACAAAACATCCCAACCAAGCTCTAATAATTTTTGTCGAGTGACCAAAGATGTGTTTGCCTTGCATTGTCATGATGGAATACAACACCTTTTCGATTTATCAATTCGGGCCGCTTTTCTTCAACTGCATGGTATAATTTCGTTAGTTGTTCAATGTAGACAATGGAATTGATCGTTCGGTTGGGTGCTAATAGTTCAAAGTAAACAATTCCTTTATAATCCCACCAAACTGATAAAAAAAAACCTTCTTTTGATGTTGTTTGAGCTGTTGGCCTGCTCCACGATCTTTTCCGCTCGATTTTGTTGTAAACAACCTATTTTTCATCGCCAGTTATCATTCGTTTTAATGGATAATTTTCATTACGTTTCTTTAACAAATCGCAGCTGTTAATCCGTTGCGTTTAATGCGTTTCTTATAGTTCGTGAGGAACCCATGTATCGAGGTTTTGAACATAGCCAAGTTGTTTTAAGTGATTTTAAATGCATGTATGTGATACCTGAAGCTTCTCTGCAATCTCACGTGTTGTACTGTGACGATCCGAATCGATTATTGCTTTGATTAGGTCGTCATCAACTTCAACTGGACGACCAGAGCGTTTTTCATCTTGAAGTGAAAAATCACCAGATCGAAATTTGGCAAACCAATTTTGACACTGCCGTTCTTTTATGGCTTCGTCGCCATAAACAGCACATAACTTTTTGTGAGCTTGCGATGCGTTTTTCCTTTTGCGAAAATAAAAAAGCAAAATATGACGAAGATGTTCCTTTCGACCTTCCATTTTTCAACGAACGTCAAACGGAAACTACGCAACCGATCAAAAAACTTTTTTTTACTGATTGACAGCTGAATTGCCAACTATCAAATAACAAAATGTGTTTTACATTTGGACTACGCCAGCAAACCTAAAACTTCAACTGAAGCCATCTATGAGTGAAATACGCAATTACTTAGTTGCCAAGCAATATTGTGTTATTAAAATATCACTTTAATGTTGCCAACAACAAACTTGTGGTGTTACTAAAACCAAAAAAAACATAATCTGTAGTAGTTATGTATATAATTGTTTGATTAGTTAGTCACACAAATCAAATTATGTACAAAATTAAAAGAACCAAATTAGAGGAAATTCACACCAAGTAAAATTTCCTTAAGATTTATAGTTTTTGTATATATTTAAAATATGATAAAGTTTAGTTGAAAGATTGCAACTAATTATTTGGTAAAAAATTATTTAATTTGATAGGTTTTGCGGAAAATGAAAACTAATCGGAATATAAAGTATTACATGTAAGCAATCTAGCATATCCATTTAATTAAAATACATCCGTGATGTGGTAGAAAAAGTGCGCATTTAATATTACGCACATTATTTAACGTTTTGTCGCTGATTTAATATTTATGAAATGAAGATTTTGGCAACTCTGTGTGTTAGCGTCGGCCAACGCAAGACGTATTGGGCGTTGTCTACTAGGTAAAAAGGGCGGTTGAAGCGCTAGCTGTTTTTAGAAAGTAACCATAGCTTGCAGTAATCAGTTGTTCAATCAAGAGCGTTGGGAATTTGCGAAAGTTATATTTGTATTTAAGTTGAAAGTGTATTAAATTTTATTGAACAAAATGAGAGAAATCGTTCACATTCAAGCTGGTCAGTGCGGTAACCAAATTGGAGCTAAGGTAAGTTAATAAATAAGTGTAAATAATCGATTTTAAATTAAAAGCAACTAAGTTAAATAATTACAATAAATTTGAACAAATTGGATCGATTACACGTAGCAGTGCACAAATATATGTAAATACTAAACAAGTAGCGAAATCAAAAAAATCAATATTTTCCGGGTCACATATAGTTAATTGGATATTTTTGGTGTAGATACATCTTTATATACGATATGAAAAAGGATTGTAAATAAATTTTAATGTAGATCTTAAACAAACCGGCCAGGTGTTCATTTGTCGAGCACAATGTACAGTTTTGCTGAGAAAATTTTGAATTTTGCTGAAGACTGATGCCGCTACCAATAGCTGTCGCTTATGTTATGTACATACATATTTATATCCGGCGTTTCGCGAAACTACTAGCACATTTGGATAAATGAGATGTGAAATGAAAGTTTCATTGCTCGAATTCCTTTAGATACTATTTGAAATAGTAAAGAAAATGTGATATTCACACTTTTTTCGAAGCTAGTTCACATTTTCATCGAATGAGTTCGTGGTCATTAAAATGACGTCGACATTTTGTGCAAGTTTTGTATATACGAGTATATAAGTAGTTAGAGAGGTTAGAACGCAGAGTTCGCGTTAGCTTTTATACGTGTATATGTACATATACATGCAAAGGTAAAAATGTGTATATACAATTTTCGCCGGTATGAATCACATAAAGTTTGTATGTACTCTATAGAGAAAAACTAGTTGGAGAAATTAGGTTTTCTTCGATGTACATAAATGCTTTTGTATTTATGTATACATTTAAGAGATAATTATAAAGGTTGATTGTTTATTTTTCTTGCGCGATATGACTGAAGTAACAGCTGCCGCTTAATAAACGAAAGGCGAGTCGAACTGAATAATTAGAACACCCACATAATTGTTTATGGTGAAAACTATTTAACCTCCCACACCTTGAAATTTGTCTTTAAAATGACGTAAGCTTGAAAACAGTTTTAGTTTTCATACTTTAACTTAAGATTTGGTGACGTAAGTGTTTTGCCGCATTCAATTTATACCTTATATGAAACTGTATATATATACATACATACAACATAACATAGGTGGGCACATATGTACGGTACGCATTTGTGTGCATAAAACACAGCGAACAGTAGTCTGAAGATTTTGCCCACGTATCGCCTTGGCTTTTGATTCGTGATGACTTCATCACTTAAAAAATGCTAAACATGGTTGTGGGTAAACAAGTTCTACTGCTATATGTATAAAAGTAAGCGATAAATGGTAATAGTAAAATAATTTGTGTTATTATGTACGTATATACCAAACCTACATGCATATTTTTATACAAATCAATAAGCTTATACATGCAAACGTAGCAGCGAGTACAATATATACGTACAAATACATATGTATGTATGTCAAATCAAGACAGATGAGAGAGTTATTTAGTATGCTATATATCGAGTTTGAAGCTATAATTAGGAAATTATGTTATTTATTCTGCAAATATGTAAATTAACATGATATATATATATTTTTAATTTGATTTTAGTTCTGGGAAATCATTTCGGACGAACATGGAATTGATGCTACTGGTGCCTATCATGGTGATAGTGATTTGCAATTAGAACGCATCAACGTATATTATAATGAGGCGTCGGGTGGAAAATATGTGCCACGCGCAGTCCTTGTCGATTTGGAACCTGGCACTATGGATTCAGTGCGTTCAGGACCTTTCGGACAAATCTTCCGTCCAGATAACTTCGTCTTCGGACAATCTGGAGCCGGTAACAATTGGGCGAAGGGCCATTACACAGAAGGTGCTGAATTGGTCGACTCTGTGCTCGATGTTGTCCGCAAAGAGGCTGAATCCTGCGACTGCCTACAAGGATTCCAACTGACACATTCCTTGGGTGGTGGCACCGGTTCTGGTATGGGAACCTTACTCATCTCGAAAATCCGTGAAGAATACCCCGACAGAATAATGAACACATACTCAGTTGTACCCTCACCTAAAGTATCAGACACAGTTGTTGAACCATACAACGCGACCCTATCCGTGCATCAACTGGTTGAAAATACAGATGAAACCTATTGTATCGATAACGAAGCTTTATATGACATTTGCTTCCGCACACTTAAATTGACCACCCCAACATATGGCGATTTGAACCATTTGGTCTCATTGACAATGTCCGGTGTAACCACCTGCCTTCGATTCCCCGGTCAACTGAACGCTGATTTACGCAAACTAGCAGTGAATATGGTTCCTTTCCCTCGATTGCATTTCTTTATGCCTGGCTTTGCTCCTTTGACATCACGAGGATCTCAACAGTACCGTGCTCTCACCGTGCCAGAACTTACACAACAAATGTTCGATGCCAAGAACATGATGGCTGCCTGCGATCCACGACACGGACGTTATCTCACTGTTGCTGCTATCTTCCGTGGACGTATGTCAATGAAGGAAGTTGACGAACAAATGCTGAATATCCAAAACAAGAACAGCTCATACTTCGTCGAATGGATCCCCAATAATGTTAAGACTGCCGTTTGCGATATTCCACCAAGAGGTTTGAAAATGTCGGCTACATTTATTGGTAACTCGACAGCAATTCAGGAATTGTTCAAGCGTATTTCGGAGCAGTTCACTGCTATGTTCCGTAGGAAAGCTTTCTTGCATTGGTACACAGGCGAAGGCATGGACGAGATGGAATTCACTGAGGCTGAAAGTAACATGAACGATTTGGTCTCCGAATACCAACAGTATCAAGAAGCAACCGCTGACGAAGATGCCGAATTTGAAGAAGAGCAAGAAGCCGAAGTCGATGAAAATTAAATTTTCACAAAATGAATGCTCAAACATTCGATGGGAACGGCGGAATCGAATTGTATTTTTATTTAATTGAATAAAGTCAGTTGGCTTCAAAAGTTCGAAAATAGCAAATTAATTTGTTTTAATTGTAGGAAAATAGGGATTTCGAAAATAAATAAGCTAGCAAATAGTTTAGGTTCATAAGAGAATTAAAGAACCGTGTAAGTATAATAGATTGTGAGAAAATTTGGGTCACTATACATGCATGTGGCGGTCCTATATTCCTCCGGAAGCCAGAGAAACGAAGAAAAAACATATGTATGTATGCGTGCATAATTTTTCCATCGTTGCAACATAGATATACGTATGCATATGTAATCGGACAATATCTTACTCAGGTGTGTAGTATATACATACATATATTACACTAACCTATCCCAAGTAAGGGGTCGCAACTGTTTAAAAGGAGTGTCTTAAGTTTTTAATTTTTTGTGTTCGTTGGATCACAGCATCTGCTATATAAATATGTAAACATAAGTATACTATGTTAAATGCATGTATACATATATATGTATATGCGTAACTATGTGCATTTTTGTGTAAATATAGAAATATTTATTTGATTTCGTAGTAAACAATATTTTTTTTAAAAACGTACGAATTTGTACACAACAGTAGAAACGCCTAAAAGTATACATATTCAATTTCTATTTAAGTGGGTGTGAACTTTTTATTGCGTATGAGTCATATTTTCAGACTTGCTTTCAGGCGCTTAGCTGAGTTCATAAACAGAAAAAATTGTAAATGTATGTGTAATTTCTTAACTCTGTTTGCATTCCACCCTTAAAATAAGTATGGTTTGGGTCTGCCAGAATTAGGAATTGTAGACGGAGTAATGACTCATTTTGTGGATTGTTTATGTAGTTACTATGGGAATTTTTACCACCTATTGCTCAGGTACACTATTCATGGTGGTGATGAAACGTTAATAATAATATATAGTATATACATATACATACAGACATACAAAAGAAGGGCGGGCTTGCCAGAATACATTTCAGCATTTTTCGCTGCGTCTGGCAACATGCCACTAATATTTTGTAAGCAATTGGAAGTTGGCAACATGTTTCTTGCAACATTGTTGCAGAGGATATACAGTTGCATAAAAATAAAAACAATGTTAATATTTCACGGGGTGAATTCCTTCGTCGTGAGATGAATTGAATTCAAACTCTTTAGTAAATATAATATATTTTCAAACCCAATTACTTGCAATTAAAAAAAAAATAGTTTTAATTTTTTTATTTATACGTTATTTTGTATAGATGTTTTGCAATAGTAATGCGATGATAGTTCAGCTAACCATTCTTCCTTAATTACCGTTATGTTGCTCATAAAAAGCTTTGTTGTATGAACTAATTCAGTAAAAATAATATATTGCGGTTGCGGTAGTGTGTATAATGAAGAAAGTGGATGTATGTGTAGGTCAAGACCTCCTTGAATTCGCTTGTATACCCCCGTATAATGTAAATAGGCTGCATTGAGAAAAAATGCCGATGTAATACATTTGCAAATGATTTCCACATTTCCATTGCATGATTTGAGCGGTAAATTTAGATGTTTTTTTGCAAGTTTGATAAGCTGCACCCGCAATTCATACGCACAGTTGAGATTGCGATAATTCAAATAGTATGTGCGGCAAAATTGTTTGCTCTGATCGTTTTCAATAAATGCCGTAAACACATTTAACATTGTAATTAAATCACCTTCAGCCACTTCGAAGTTACGTTTAGCAATGCGTGCTTTAATCTGACCTTGACCGGTAGCTGGGTGCGCGAAAACTGTCTCCACTTGAAGCATAGCTATTATAGTTAAAATCTCTTCGGAGCAATTCATAGAACCAGACATGTAAAGCATACGACTGAGCATTGGAGGTAATGGCATTTCGGCCATGAAATAACCCAGAGGCTTTGTGAGATTACCATCATTATCAATGGCTTCTGCAAAGAAAGAAAAGAAAAAAGTTTTCGTTAATTATGAACACCAATATACCTACAAAATTTGGAAATTGAGGTTAAAATCTCTACTAACTTTATAATAATAACGTATGCGGATATGCATAAATAATTTATTATACCACTTGCCATATGTTTACTATATAAAATATTCTCAATTAAAATATTACAAAAACTATTTTCAACAAGTAGCTGCACTATTTCCGCGTCATATACTTTTCTTTTCATTCGTCACTGCTTTACCAGCAGTGGCAAAAGGAAATGCTGTTACAACAAATTTGAGAGCGCTCAAAGGAAAAGTAGCATATAGGAAACGGAGCATGAACAGCAGTTCACTCATATAAATTAGTGAGAATACAGATTTTTGAAGCCATTAAAGCATCGTCCGACCGGTAATTTTTGTGTAAAGGCTTGCCAATAAATACAAAAAAATGCGTGGCGGGTGAAGTGGAATGTGGGCGATAAAAATGTGTGTAAAATTAAACGAAGTTATAAGTATTAATAATAATTATTAAAAATTAATAAATCAAGGAACTAAATGAAAAGCAAATGCTTAGTTTTTCCAAGTCACTCTCAAAGCAGGCAAGTCGATCTATCCGGTACTGACGGGTATTATGTACAGAAATGAAGGCATATTACTTTTAGGACAGCAAAGTTTTTGAACATCAAAAATGGTAAGTGTTTCAATTTAAAGCTAAATATTCGATTACACTGCTGTTTAACAATTTGAAATTGATGTAAAAAGACTCATTCGCTGTACTTACCTAGAGCATGAAGTGTTTCCAAAGCAGCCAATACATTTTTGGCCGGCGGTGGGGAGGGAAAATTGAATTTTAAAATATTACTAATTCCTAATGCTTTTAAATTCAATATCATTGCACTCAATTCACATCGTCTTATTTCTGGTGGGAATCGATCGGGTAATTTTTCAAAATCTTCCTCCGTATATAGCCGATATACCTTTCCGGGGCGTGTCCGTCCGGCACGTCCAGCTCTCTGCAAAGCAGTAGCTTTGCTAATGGGCACTACGACCAACTGGTCCGTCGCACTATCTGAATCGAACCACTTTAATTTAATAAACCCACAGTCAACAACTGAAAAAAAAAAAAATATTTTTATGGTATATAAAAAAATTTCTTTGTAAATGTGATATAAAAATTTTATTTTACCATATACAACACCCGGTATAGTGATCGAGGTCTCAGCAATATTTGTTGCATATATAACTTTACGTACACCTTTCTCCGATGCAAAAAATACTTTTAATTGCTCTTTATGTGTTAAAGATCCGTACATCGGCATAGGCTGCAATGTGTTATCGTCTTTCAAATTCATATAGTCCTTTGTTAGACTCACAGCTTGTAGTACTTCCTCCTGCCCTGTGAGAAATACTAAAATATCACCCTGCGCTTCCTTTTTATGAATTTTCCATACAGTTTCAACGGCTTCATTTACATAATCCGCACATGGATTGCTTAGATAAAATATGCTAATCGGATGTGTTCGACCTTCAACAGATAAAATTATGCTTGAATTAGTTTTGAAGAAATCAGCGAAAGTGTCAGCATCGATGGTGGCTGACGATATAACCAATTTTAGTGTAGGTCTCTTGTTGACCACTTTCTTCAGCAAACCAATAATAATGTCTGTTATTAAATTTCGTTCATGTGCTTCATCAATCACAATAACACTGTAACGCATTAATAAGGGATCTGTTAGGAGTTCGCGCAATAGAATGCCTTCTGTCATATACTATTAAAATAAATAAATTTTTTGATATTTTTGGTGTTATTTGTTTATACCAATTGTTGCTCCTCACCTTTATAGCTGTAGCTTCGGATGTTTTTTCCAAAAATTTTACCACAAATCCGACAGTACTACCGATAACTTCACCTCGTTCCATTGCTACACGATTTGCTAAAGTTATGGCAGATATGCGACGTGGTTGTGTTAAACCGATTTCGCCCTTTATATGCCAACCCAGTTCATAGAGGTACTTGAAAAAGAATAACGGTTATTTTATAATAAATTAGTAAGATAATACTACGAAGGAATAATGTAGGTCATTAGGCTGAATGTACATAAATAATATTGTATTTGAGTTTATTTGAAATTTTGAAAAATTAACAGTTAATTATAATTAACTTGTCTATATTTAAATAAATATCTAAAGGCGTTGCAGAGACTCAAATTTATATAAATTCTAAAAGATATTGGTTTGGAATTGCTTCCTTCGCTTAAGAATATCTATGAATGCTGTATTTTTTTTTCTAATTTTGGGTATTCTTAATAAATGTAGGTCTTTCGTATATTTATATTAGTTCGATTGAACTCAGCTCTTTCCACCACACTTGAAAACTAAATTGCTTGCTTACACATATGTATATACCGTGTACAGCATAAGTGAAGGTACGGTTGGTTAATTTCACTCCTTTTGATAATATTACTAAAAAACTAACGAAAATAACCCGGATAAATTGTTAGCATTACTTTATTTAATTATTTATTTCTCTTATAAAAACAAAAACCGTTATTTTCAGTAATTTTTATTTATTATTTATTTTTTAGTAATATCAAAAAGAGTGAAATTAACCAACCGTACCTTCACTTATGTTGTACACTGTATATGTACTTACTTAATGTAATATACATATATATTTTTTATTGATGTTTTCTATATATTTAAATATCTTAAATCTTTGTAGGGCGATAAATTAGCGGCAAATCTAAAGCCTCGTTTTTACTTTTCTTTCTAAGAATATCGATTGAATCCACCAATACCTACCACTCTTGAAAAGTAAAATGCTTGCTTACACAAATATATAAATTATTTAGCGTTTTATTAAAAATCAACACAATTTGTTCTTTATTTTAGTATACATATTTTGCAGGTATTTTTTTTAATATATATCGTGTTAAATTTTACATAAAATATATTCGATTCAATAACAATTCACATTTTGTACAAACACGACATTTAGAAAAAGGGAATGGATCAAAACGATGTATTATTACCAGAAACAGTATTAAAAATGAAATTATGAGCCTCTAAAACATGCATTTCACTGATACAAATTACAATTAACAGTACAAAATAACCGACATATTGTATAGCCTTTAAGAAGTCCCACAATTTATCGCAAAATATACTTAGCAAAACTAGATGCAGCAAGGAATGCACATTAACTATTCGCCACATCCATGCAACACATAAAAACCACGCCGATTTAAAGGTTATATTCTGTCGTATGAATTGTGTTGGCGTTACATCGTTACGCTCCAACATGTCTTGGTATACGGCGATATAGCGATTCCAAGCAGTTGAGCTAACAAGCAGTTGCCCTGTGAAGCATATAACTTTTTTGACCACCTTTGGTGTCATTGATTTTGCTTTAGGCCTCGTAACGGGTTCCGGTAGTTTTGATTCACTCATTGGTAGTTGAGAGTAACCACGGCGTGGTGGATTGTTTTTCAGGTAAAAGAAGATACCCAAAAGTAAGGCAATACAACCCAGACCATCACAAAGCCCATCAATATAATAACCGGATGTACCAACTTCAGAACGTTCTCCGTGTATATTCTTTTTAGCACGTGCCACATGACCGTCCAGGTCATCTAAGAAGGTGCGCAGTTGAAAGAGTACCACACCCAGACGGCGATAGCCCAAATTATCCGATGAAACCATTTTACCCGCAATGCATGCAACTCCTACGTGGAAGAACGATATCATATTTGCTGTGATGAAAGAGCTTCGGGAAATCCCAACGATATTGTCAAATATAGTAGCAAGCGGTGCAAATAGATAATGATTCGTATGGTCCAGAAGTAAAGCTTTCACCGTCACGTGACACAAAGGATTCACGTCACACGATAACATATGATGGTGCTCATAATAACTGATCGATTTTATCATTGTATAATCTGTAGTTCCTTCACCGCCTAATGCATTATTCGCTAATAAAGTTGTTGTATTTATGTGGTAATTTCGTTCGATTGCATATCTTTGTATACGTAAATATAACTGAACGTCCATAAATATATAAAATGCCAATAAAGCGAAGAGAAGGCATAGTAGTATTTTACTCACTTGTGAGCTTGGACCCACCATTTCTTAATAAAATATTTTTGTTTGGTAGTTGTGTGTATGTGTGAAAACTTGAGTTGTATGCGTAAAATTTTATAAAATTTTTTCCTCTTATTATAATTCTTTTAAGGAAATTTAGTTTCTATTGAATTGCTCCAATTAACACCGGGAATGAACGTTCATGTCACAATAGTTGTGTGCACGAGCAAATATGGTTGAAATGTGAATCTGGAAAGAATATCACTTAACGTAAATAAAGTTTTCTGAATAATGTCACGCAAACGGCAAGCAAATAAACCATATTACATTTTATCGCATTTCGGAAATATAAATTTCATTATACGAGCATACTAATTTTCTTAGAAATAACTGTATTCCTATGTGTAACAGTAAACGGTTATTGCGAAATTGATAATAATTTCCTAAACCCAAGTATGATAACAAACTCGAAATAAGTTCTTCATTTGCCTTAAATATACATTTTTTAATATGATTAGAAACTTTGTTTCAGTTTCTATGATACCACAATAATTAATAATATTCTAACATAAAATTTAAAATGTTTCTAAAATTACTATCTCCATTTTTTATAATAAAGCTATATAAAAAAAGGTACAAATTCACAACCTACAATTAAATAACTCTTGAGAGGGAATAAAAACATTTGAGAAAAAATTCTAATACCTGTGGAAGTTGAGTGCTTTTTCCGCTACCGGTTTCGCCAACTAATATCAAAACCTGATTTTTTTCCAAACAATATAAAATATCTCTGCGGTATTTATAAATAGGAAGTCGCTTTCGTTGGTCAATTATCGGTAAATTATGATTTGCATTGAATACAAAACAAGATTCCGTTTCATTAGTAGTAACATAATCGTCCCTTTTTGACCCTACTTCATCGACATCTGGAAAAAATTAGAAAGTAATTTGTTGGTAAAATTCGAACAGACAGATTACTCTACTCTGTCTCTTACTAAAAACATTGAATTCAAATACTTCGAATTTATTATGTCTTACTCCAATATTTATATCTTTACTAAATTTAAATTTGACTAACTCCGTTTGAAATGAACTATATGACTATTAAAAAGTATCATTCTCACTTATGATAACGTAGTCATCATATGTTATCAGATGATAACATTTACCTTTAATCCCAATTAACACCAATTAATATTAGGTATATATATATAAGTATACATACATATGTATATTAGTTGAATATTTTATCTGAAAGTAAGTTATCGCCGCAAATAAAGTATACAACATCTAGCACCTAGTCAACATGGTATGCTCGTAAGAATTGTGTTTACACTTTACGTTTATAATTTGTAATCAATATGGAAAGAATGCAACTACTTTCTTAAAGCGCACGTCACTTAGTCGTATATTACTAAGCAAAAATGCAAAAAAATACGTTTTATTTATAGAAGAACGAAAGCTATTTAGGCCAGTACCACAAAAAGTATTGCAATTTTTATTTTGTTTATTTGCTTGCTTTTTTAATGCATATATACGTTTTTACAAACCTGGGGCAAGAAAATTCGGTTTCAGTTGTAGTGAAACCATAATACTCCAGTATTTATAGACAATTTTCGTGTACAATTTACTCTATTAACAATATTGACAATTATTACTACGGAGACTTCACTCTTAATTAATAAACTAGATTAGGGATTGTTATTTTCTGAGGAGCAACAGCATATTAATGAAACACAACAGCGTACTCAGCGAAAGTAATTGAAAAATATGTTGCCACAGGGTGTGTTAAAGTAAATTTTCCAATGTACAGTATGTATAGAAAAATTACATAGTGAGAAACAATTTGTGGATTCGAATTTAATCTATTTTGCTATCTGTTCTCAGATAGACGAGTACTTAAATTGAGAATGGAAACTGTTAACTAATTCTAGCAGAAAATAAATAAGTTTGGCATAAAATTGTGACATATTTTCACTAAATTTGGAGTTTTTTAGGATTTGTGATCGATATTTATTAATTCATTAGTTTGCAATATTTTTGAACACTCAATTATTTGCATATACTTTATTACACTAAATACTTTACAGGAATACAATGATGCTATTATAAATAGAGTTTACGCCTTAAAGTTAGTTCCAATAACAGTGGTCTCTCAATTAATAAATCAATTATTCATGACTTTTAAAGTAAATAACATTTTCTTCTCCACAAATAGCAGCAACATGAACGATGGTAGGATGATCGACAATAACATCTGTAGTATTTGTAATGACTACAGCAAGAATGCAGACTTGAATGACAGTAGCATGAGTCATGCAAACAATATAAATGACAAGCTGAATCACACATGGTTTTATTTTGCTGCAAATAAAAAAAAAAATTGTAAATTAATTAATTAAAAAATTACTAAAAAATAACAATTAAATTAATATTTGATTTTCTTTATTTTAAATAATTCAATTTGTTATCACTTACTTCTGTTAAACAATTTACTTAAAATAAATACGTTCCGACAAAGATTTCAAATGCGACTAAAGTCATCCAATGCGAATTTCAAAATATTTGTAGTCGGAAATAGGCTCACCGCCAGTACCTGGTTACCTGGTTAACATGTTAGATCGATAATATAACGATTTGAATTGCATTTACATACGAAAAAGGCTTACACACCAATGTTTCTGAGTAGTAGGGTCATGTACGGGTTATATTATATTCAAATACAGTTGCCTCGCTTTGATGTGAACTATTAACGAAATCTTTATAACACATTTTTATTTCTCAACATAGGCCTAGCAAATATTATTAGTTAATAAAATATATAAATTTAAATAGCAATTAAATCTTAATACGAATTTCATCCTCGTTTATAAAAATTAATATGATTAACATAAAAATGTAATAATATAAAGTACCTTAATTAATAAGGATTTTTGTTTTATGTTATTAATTTAAAAAAACGAGGATGAAATTCGTAATAAAATTTAATTGTTATTACAATTTATATATTTTAAAAACTATTACTATTTGCTGGTTCTATGTTGAGAAATATGTATTTATTTTATTTAAAATCTATTTGATGTTTATCAATTATATTGGTTGGCATAGTTTTGCGTGCTAATAAATATGCTATGCTCTAAATAAGTAATTGAATATAGATTTTAGAGTAAATAACAAAATATATAGATATGTATGTATACTCATATGTATGCATGTACTTATACAAATGATGCTTCAACCTGACCTAGTATCAATAAATAAACATTGTGTATTGTTTTGTTGTTGCCATTGTTACAATTGTCTTTAAACTAGTTATATTGTATTTCTAAATTGTCATTGGAATTTTTGTGTATTTTATGGTAAGAGAAGATATCTTTAACCAACGAGAAATATTCGGATTTCTTCAGAAATGTTTTCTGCCGCTACAATAACTACAACAACAACATTGGTGCATTCAAAATCCGTTTAAGAAAAAAATAAAATAATGTCTCATCAAATTTGACTCGAACTGGTCCATTTGAATTGTCCTAGCTTAATACAACGCGTTTTCAACATTTGATCAAATTTAACACGGACTGTCATTTTTAACGCATTCAAAATATGCTCTTTTTGTGACAATACACATACACCAACGTTCAATTCAATTTACACAATTACACTTGTTATGAGCCTCGGCTGGGATGGTTTTCAGCGCCTTTAGCGAATTTTGTTTTTTTCGGTTTCTGCTAATTTTTGGAGCGCCATTCGCTAGCTTGTTGGACCATTTCGACGTCATATTCATAAACACACGTTTCGTCACCAGTAATGATGCGTTTGATAAATGTAGACCTCTCAGCTACGGTGTTACTACCTTTACTCGACGTCGTTTTTGCAAAAGATTCAGGGCTTTTCATACGAGTCTAGAATTGACACCCATGGTACTCAAAATATTAACCAAAATGTGTTGAGTCTCTTGGGACATGTTGAGATGCTCTGCTATTTCTCTGATGCCAACACGACGATTTACAAACACTGTTTCTTTATTTTTTTAATGCTATCGTCATTAACAGATAACGCGCAAGAGGCAAATTTTCTATGATTTTTATGATATGAAATTATATAGCTTTCCTCACCCGCAAACCCCATTAATTATTACAAGGTATTTGTTTTTTACACAGTCGATTTAGCTTACGTATATGTATATATTTATTTATATTTAGAAACAAAAAGTGAAGTACCATAATTACATAATATAGCGTTTTTTGTTTTAATTTGTAAGTATAAGCAATAATGCCAGAAAGTTTTGTACATGCATAAAAAGGGGGAAAACAACATCTATCAACCTCGAAATACATAATTTTTTATTACAATTTTAAATTGGATTTGTTTTTGTCTTCTTTACTATATATATATATAACATAACATCAATTCATCATATGAATTACATACAACAACTAAATGTGTATTTCTAATTGAATTTTATATTCAGATAGTCGCAGGTTTAGCTAAAATAATAAGAATGAGACTCGTGTCCGACGCGCATCACCTTTGGCTCTTCGAGCCATCCCGTAATGTCACATGCTCCCCTCCGAGCTGCTTGTTGTGCCTTTTGAATCTCCCATACCGCCAGCATTGTTATCGTCACCACCTAAAGCGCCCGATGATGACAAGCCACCAGAGAGACCACTCAGGTCCAATTTGTACTAAAATAGATAGAATTATGCACTTAAATGTCTACGCTCGCATAAACAAGTTGATACAAAAAAACAAAAAAAAAATAAAAAAAAATAAAATAATAATAATTTGAGAACATCAAAAATGTTAGTTTACTCTCACAAAAGTGTTCGGTTCCAAAAATCAAAGTTTCGAAGGAGTCAATACCTCTTTATTGAACCTGTTTCGTAAGTAGTGTAGAACTTAATAAACGATAACATAAATTACATATTAAAATAATATTGCCAAAATAACATATAGTGGGGTAGATAAAGTTGCAAATAGTAACGCATGCATAGGTATAAGAGAGAAAACATTCACATCGGTTCACAAACGAGCATTTACCTTAGTCGCACATTCAAAACATTTTGATACAACCTTGTTAATAACACTCATAAGATTCTTAGTTTCTCGTATAACGTGATCCACCTTTACAAATGTGGCATCCTTTCCGACAGTGTGATCTTTAACGGTAAACTGCAGAGTTTGCACAAAAGTCGGAACCCTGTCCAAAATATTCAAAAGATCCTTCTTATTTTGACTAGCTGGTACCTGTTGTGAGTAAGAGAAAATACAAACGATTACATGTAATTTGACTGTTCAAATTCTTAGTCTAAGTCTTAGTATATATTTTTAATAAATTGAAATTTAATTTGCATAAATATAAAAATACAAAAATACGTATGGCATATATTTAGTTCACCTGATAGGAAAATTGTCGCAAGACTTTATATAAACGATTTGCTTCTTCGGCAAAGTACTCGGCTTGCGTGAAGAGGTCTTGTGTCGTCCTCAAAGTGCCGTTGCCTTTCGTAAACTGATACATGGCGAATGCCATTGCCGACATGTTTTTTGCTCGTTTAATTATATCGTTATTTTCGTTAACTTCATCATTCCATTTCTCATTGAATGGCGCTATTTCCGCAGGCATGTCTTTGGTCTCAGCTGTGGCCACTTTACCCTGCTCCTCCTGACCAACAGACAGCGGTCGTGCAGCAGTCGGTTTAAATTTCTATTGCGAATAAAAGAAAATAATTTAGTATTTTACAAAAAAAAAAACACTTAAAGGAATTTTCAGTGAAAACAAAAACAACCGTCGATTTTAACTTTTAGATAACTTATGTTAATGTTGTAGCGGCAGAAAACATCTCTGAAGTGATTTGGATGAATGCTGCCGAGTTGACAGTTCTTGGTCAGTCCAAAACTCGGTTCCGGTTACGTAGATCCGACTGCCGTGAAAACGGATTAACGTAATTGGTGGCGGAACCGCCGATATCGAACCATAGGTTACAGCTGTCATACAAATTGAACGGTCAAAATCAAGTCTTTGTATGGAAAACTTTTTTATTTAATTTTAATCAAATTCTTGTATGAACAACTTTTTAATTTGACAAATTACTCGTATATTCACGAAATTGGACATCGTTTGTGCTCCAAGGCAACGCTTCAATCTGCGAATATAGTGTTTAGATCAGACCACTGTAGCATATAGCTGCTGTACACACTGAGCGATCTAAATTAAGATAAAATTCTTTTTATAGCCTTTTATGCTATAAGAAATGCATCTTTCTTGTTTTATTTGGACAGTCACAGAGCGCAATATCTAACCGCAAAAGACCATTTTTAATCTTTCGACCGAACAGTTGTTACAGATCTTTTCGATTTTCTTTTTCTACCTCATATACGAGTATGCATGTAGTATATATATTGTACATATTTGCTTACCTTAATTGATTTATTGTCGATTTGCTCACCAGTAGTGTCTAATATTTGTTGTGCAACATTTGTAATTTCGGAAATGAGCCACTTCCACATTTCTGCGAAGGCGTCCATATTCTCATTCGCCGGAACACTTGTAGGATATCTCGACAATATTTTAGCAGCTAGTATTACTTGTGGACCATATATCCGTAAATTAATAGCTAAGCATTTCGATTGTACTTGTAAGCTCTCTGTAAAAGCGATGTGCTGTAACAATTTGCATACATCTATAATATGATCACAACAGTCGTGAAATTTATTCGACCACTCTTGAAAGGATGTGGGATCCTCATTCAGTGCCAACAAATGAAAGTTATTCACTAATTCCACTGAGGTCTTCAGCGAATGATATAGATCAGCTGTCTGATCGGCAACCGATAGTATTAGTTGTTGTGTTAGATTTTTTGCTGTACCTATAACTCTATCAATCTCTTCATCCATTATATGTCTCGTATTACGTTCGGTCTTATATAAAATATTTAAACATTTTTTAAGCTCTAGTTTACAACGATCACAAAGGAATAAAATATGTTCTCTATTTTCATGACTTGTATAAGCTGAATCTGTAAAGTCATGTGTTTTTTCTAATAGTTTTTCAAAAGCATATATCAGTTCTTCGATTAATTCAATATTAAATGGTGTCATCAAGTCTCGATCGGTAAATGGTGAAATTTTTGTACCACATTGTTTATAATTATTACCTATTAGAATACTCTCATCTTCGCTACCAAACGAATTTCGACGTTTACTAGTATATTCATTGTTCCATTTCTTTTCGGTTAACGTAGTTGAGGTGGCGTTTTTCGAATAATTATTATTTCCTATATACATAGTCGGTTTGGCGTCGTCCAACGGTTTCGAACGAAATTTCTCCAATAAAAAGGTTAAATAATTCGATGATGATTGTACAGTTTCGCCGCCGATATTTTTCGCAGCATGTTCGTTATATGATGTTAAAAATTGCGTCTCGAATATGCAATCTTTAACCACAAAATGTATTAAATCCATAGCACGTCTGATTTGACAAAATACTGTATCGCGATTTTCCTTAGCTATCATACAATCATAATGTAGGAGCGTCGCTTTAGACGAGGATAATAAAATTGAAATAGAGTGTTCAAGTATTTGTTTAGCGGAAAACATTTGCGCTCGGCGCCTTTCCTCTTTGATATTATTCTGTTGATGTCGTATTAGATATGCAAGCTCTAT